CTCTGCAAATGGACTTCTTCTGCTAATTTTGGTCCGTCTCGGAGACCCTGTTGTAACACGAACTTGCGCGTAAGCGATGGGGAGGGGGGTAGAGGTGGGGTGCCCGAGGCCCCGGCGGATGTAGTGACGATTTTGCCGACTTTGCCTTCTTGCATTCGCCGCGTGCTTTTCTGGCTTGCTTTGCTTCGCCGTGAGTTGCCTATCGCGAGGAGTTTCAGGTGGCCATTGCTCTATGTCCGCTGCTTGTCTGCAAAAAGAACAGAAAACTCCACGAGCCCATGCCAGCAACGTGTGCTGTTTGTTATTTTTTGTGAAGGCTTCCTATGATTGCTGCTGCCACTGCGGACACGAGAAGCTGCGATCAGAGAAGGCGATCTGGTTGCTTGGCCTCTGGCGCGGCCTGCTGCTGGGAGTGCTGCATGCCTTTCAGCTCGATGCTCGGATACAGGGACGTACAGGGGATGTGGTAGCTGTAGCGTTTGCTGTAAGCATTACGGCAACAGGATGTGCAAATTGACACTCGACAGCTGACGCTTCTCAGCCACTGCTGCCATCTACTGCCCAACAAGGTCCGTCACAAACGACTTGCTGGTTTCCAGGGGTAGGACGCACATGGAGGCACGGACATTTTTGCGTCTGGGGTGTAGGAGAGCCTCAAAAGGATAGCAGTATCTGAGAATTTGCGAGGATGTTGGGGCTCTCAATGGTCCGGTATAGGGATCGTGGCATATGAGCCACAGTAAAAATCGATGTACGAGGGGCTGGCCGGCATATTTAGGTATCAGGCCACGGACAAAACAAGATTCGTTCAGCTTTTTGTCTGAAAGTCGGAGCGTAGACCGCATGCCCATATAGTTGCATGACTCACGAGATGCCCTGAAACGTGTGTTGATTTGGTGGTCGTCGTTCGAGATTGTCGGGTAAATGAGATCGCCGCAGACAGAGAACCTCGTGTCGGGCTCGTACCGCGAGTTGAGAATTGAGACTGCGGAAAAAAATAATGGTTTTAGGACATCCAGCTAACACCTGGGAGCAGATGGCAGCTGTGCTACTTGATGGGTTGATGCAGGCTGGCTCCGTCGTTGCAATGAACCAGGTGATCGCATTGTGCCCTGTCATCTTTCTATAGTGACGCCCTGCAGACTGTGAACTGGTTACCCTGCTGCACTGAGATGCTTGATGCCACTGGTTGCGTTGTCCGGATACTTCATCGGCTTGCGTGTCATGCTGGTCGCCCGGAGCCCAGCACTCTTGGACAGGTGTTGATGTCACAGTCATTTCGTCAGCTTGTCTCTTGTGTTTTTTGCCATATGTCGTTGCGCATGTAGCAGTGTGGGATAGCGCAGGTGATCTCATTGCTGCCCTTCTTCGGAGCCTTGGTGCTGCTCGCCGCTCCTCCATCGCTGCTGGAAGCAGGCGGCATGTTGGCCAACTTTGCGCTTTCACTGGTGAAGCATCCAGCTGTGCAGACATTTGTCATGGCGAGGTCTCCTTGCCATTGCTGTTGCCTCGACTGTCATGCCAGTGCTACCGCTGGTATTGGTACCCGCCAATAGCCGTACCTTGACAAAGGTTGAAAGTATGCAAAAAGGTACTGTGATGAAGTTCGAGCAATCCATTCTGGTCCAACTTTGTCATCACCTGAGGCTCGTGTGGCACATCCTTTGGCCTGCTGGACTCCCTTTTTGGTCTGGGCCAGGTCACGCTTGCCCCACTTAGTCGGAGTTTTGACACTGACCATGTGACACCCGTACATGTGCGCTGCAAGAACCAAACCTTTCATGCAGGTTACCTTCACGGTTGCGATCGGTGCCTGCCGCAAGGACTTGGAAAGCGGGTGAACGCAAGTGGCTGATGGTTTGCCCCCTCCTGTGTCAGGAAGGCGGTTTCGATCTTGCCCTGCCGTTTCTCTCTGCAGCGTTCGCCTTCGCAGCCCTGCTCTCTGTGTGGGTGGCGCGTGTCGTTCCTTGGATCTTGACGTTGGCCAGAGTTAGTCATTGTTCTAGGACGAACGGCTGTAGAAGCTTCATGAGCATAGACTGATGCCGATGCGTCTGAGGTGAAGGTCTGAAGCAGAGTCAGGTGCCGCTTCCTGCTCTTTTCTAGCCATGCCGTGTGTGTGTGTGTGTGTGTGTGTGATTGTGTGTGATTGTGTGTGATTGTGTGTGATTGTGTGTGATTGTGTGTGTGTGTGTGTGATTGTGTGTGTGTGTGATTGTGTGTGTGTGTGTGTGTGTGTGTTTTGTGTCTGTGTGTGTGATGCTGTCCTGCATGAAATGTCCTTGCTTCAGGCAGATGAGAAGTGCCTTGGCACTGCAATCAGGAGTGGTGGTCGCGGTGCTGTGGCAGTGGCCTTGTAGTTGTAGTCGTTTGTCGTTGTAGAAGTTGTAGTTATCGTAGTTGTCGTAGTAACGGAAGTATCTGGAGCAACTGTAGAAGGAGAAGTCGACTGGCTGTGCTTGCCTCAGGATTGCGCACAGCTTTGCATCATGCTTATACATGCTCAGGACATCGAGCATTGAATTTGCGGAGGAGACATGATGAGAGACTCCGACCCGAATGGCACAATCAGACATGCGAGCCTGCCACAAGTGTAGTTCCGACTCGCATGCTGACGCAATATTTTTTGAATGGCCTGAACTCGCATTTTCAAAGTTAGTGCCCCAACAAAACTAGCGTGCAGTAGGCGACTTGTTAAAGTGCAATCCAAATTCGAGACCCTTGCTCTCGGAATCGAGATTTCTTGGCGGATTGGGAAGCGATTTTCCCGGATGTTCCCTAGTTCCCAGCAGTGATTTGTAAATGCCGCGCCCGGCAGAGGCTCCTCAAAGGAATGCCTACAAGGGTGATTTGCAACCGCAAAGAAACGCGCACATTGTGCACATCGTAGACAGACCAGACAGTTGCTCAGCTGCTTGCAAATCGCCTGACGTTTGCCTGCTGGTTGGATAAAATGTTTGCCCTTGTCGACTAGCCTTATGGTAGCTTAGCAGCAAGATGATTTGCGCACGCCATGCCACGATAGGGTGACATGCGACATGAGCATCATTGTGTCACTGCAAGCATGTGCTACGAAGCAAGAACATGTGTGCTTCCTCTGGACCTGAGGCGCTGTGGTCCATTCCTAAGCGTATGGTGCACATTGACCACTGCACGCGCGCATGTTTAGACATCTGCCGGCAGTCTGTATAGTGTCTGCCCATTGTCGGTGTATTGGCCGTGTGTCAGTATGGGCCATGTTGAGGTCAATCGTGGTTTACTTGGCTCGCCAGCAAGACAGCCAAATTGATGCTGCCGGCTGCTGATGTCTCTTCATACAGATGCCCTTTGCCAAAGTGCGAAGGTCACTGCGACCTGGCTGAGGCTGTGGGGATGACATTGCATGCCAGGGGAGCCAGCTGGCACCCCAGGAGTTAACTTACCTTGCAGGGAAAGCGATGGGTATTGACTATGCCGTGCTTGTACATGGCTGCTGCCAGCGGGTGCGTGTTCCACCGGTTCGCGTTTTGCGATCGCTGATCGTAGGTCGTAGGTCTTGCAAGCGCTGAATCAGCATTTGAGTGTTGCTCCCTCTGTAGAAATTTAGGCAACAGCCATCGTAGAAGCCTGGTGGGCTGATGAGTCAAGAGTCAACCATCACCCTCCTTACCAAACATAAGCAAACCCAGAACCTCTGAGGTGGTTTCGGAAAGTTTCTGCAGCGCAACCCTGGGTGGTCGCCTCAAAAGGCGAACCCGGCTGCCCAGGTGTGCATCACTAGTGCATCACTAGTGCATCTAAGGTGCACATCTGCGGAGGCCTGGCTTGCTCGAGTTTCATCTTAGCCTCTACCTTCGAAGTACGCCTCACATGTTACCTCGTGGAAGAGAGGTGCAACATGGGCCTGTTAGAGCTCCGAAGCAACACGCAAGGCACAGCACGAGTTCTGGAAGCTGACAGACGAGGACCGATGGGGCCCCAATGGGGGACCCTTAAAATGGCCCCCAAACAGATTCCCTGACAATGGTAAGGACCCCAATAAGGTACCCCTGATGTCGGAAACCCCCAGTTGGGGCCCAATTGGGTCCAAGGCCAAAACCTGCAGCGTTGCGCCAGGAGCTGGGCCCACTCCTGGCAGCGGAGGCGCTCCCCGCAAAATGCGAATCCCAGAATCTGCAGAAGCGCTTTATTTTCCTTCGTATGCATCCTGCTCATCTGATCTAGGGATATCTAGGGGAGGAGAAACATTGAAACCTGACGATTGCAAACAACATTGCGCTGTCCACAGCTTCCAGAAGCGGCCAAAATCACAAACAGTTTGCAAATACGAGTTGGGAGGCAAATCAGCCCCCCAAACTATTCAATCTGATACAGCGCCCTTTAGATGGTACGGCCTTGCAAGGTGCTGCCTTGGCAGCTCCCCGGGCCCTTCTGGGGAGTGGGTCTCGGCCTTAGGGTTGTTGTACGATCTTGTACTGTTTAGGCGGTTGGCTCATGGAATCCAAGGCCCTGGCCATGCCGGCCATGCCGGCCATGCCGGCCATGCCGGCCATGCCGGCTATGCCGGCTATGCATGACGTGCTGCAGATGCTGCAGTTGAGAATTTGTCGGAGCACCTCGTCCGAGCCTGGTGATGGAAGCGCTCCACCTGGCAGCAGTTGGCGGGCCCTAGGTCCCTAGGTGGTCTTGATGCGGCAAACTGCCAAGTTTGATCCGTAGTGTGACAGGGTTGTGGACCAAAGGCTTGCGGAAATCCAAAAACCGCGGTCGATTGTAACGTGAGCCCTGATGCCTCCTGCGACTGCGCAAGATTGCATGCTGGAGACACCAAACTGTCGAACACTAGTTAGGCTCATCGGTCTGCGTGCGCTCAGCTTCAAAGCACGTCCTCATGGACCGAGACCAAGCAACGGGATTCAGTGGATTCAGTCTACAGACGAACTCAGCAGGTATGCATGTTCGGCCTACTGCACGTGAACGTGCCGGACTGTTCATTGCGGTATATTGCGGTCCATTGAGCCATGGCGGATTCTACCGTTGCGGATCTTCCTGCTGCTCGTGCTGAGATGCCCATGGGGTTGTATCATGCCAGTGCGAGAGCTGATGAACTTTGCTTCTTCAGCAACGAGACGCGGAATGCTGTCTTCAAGTATGATGGAACGACGCTGTTCGGGACGTACAGTGTGGAAGGTTCCTGTGTCAAAGTCCGGTGGCACCGAAAGGTTTATACCAAGATCGGCCGCACAACCAAGGAGATAAAGGAAGATATTGACATGCAGGAAGAGATGACTGTGGAAGAAAACGGGTATGCAGCTCGTTTCAGGGATGCAGTCTACAGACACCAGCGCTTGACAGGATGGAAGGACGATTGATAGGGAAGAGCGACGTGATGACAACTGCAGACGGACAAGGGTGAGCACGACGATGCCGGACGTGAGGCCCCGCGGGACAAGCAGCTCATGACTGAGATTTCTGGGAACAGGCTGGGACAGCCCTTCGGCGGACCTGAGCCAACATCGTATGCGTCGTGCCAATGTGGGACGGACACTGCAGAATCTGCTCAGCGGCAAACTCCATCCTGAGTTCGCGCATGTGCCAACCCGGCGTTGACGTTCGACATGTGTAGGGCGAAAGTTTCTCGAAGGGAAGCGTGTAACACAAGCCTGTGAACGTTTTGTCATCACATACTTGTCCTAAGAGCATTTCTGTAGGCATACACGTCCCAGCACACACAGTGCTTCTCTTGGTAGAGCATGGCTTCGTTGTTTGGAGAATCGTGCCGAAGTGGTGGAACAGAAGTGCAGGAACAATCGTATGATCGCATCAGATAGATTCACCATGTCTCAGACAGAGCGAATGTTCTACCAATGCAAGGAGTTATGAGATATTCGGTTGGTACCCAAAGGAATACCGATTTCGCGCTGAGCCAGATGTAATCTGGATGACGGAAGTCTGACCAACCATCCAAGTTTGACATAAGGCACCCAAGTCATCATGGAGACGACAGAAGGCACCTGAGTCATGATGGAGACTGCTACAATCCAGCTAGCAGCCTTGGCGGCTCACAGTGAAAGAAAAGCAGAGCGAGGCATATCCCAGCACACTGCAAGGTGTACAGAGCAATTCCATGCGCAACGCATGGACACATGGCAGTCTGACAGTCCCGGCCACGGGTGGCCGCCTTATTCTCTAGCAAACCTGCATTCCCACGAGCCTGCATCCGAAACATGGGGATGTTCAGTCTGCAGGAGGCTAGGCCAGCTTCATTGCATTGTGCAAAGGGGCTTTTGCAAGCCATTCACAAGTGTAGGGCGTTTCAAGTCTCCGTGAATCTTTACGACTTGCTTAACCCTTCCAGTTTCAGAGTCAGCTTCTCAGTTTGTGGAATCGGCCCGACCCCCCTACAGTTTCCCGACCTTCGCAGTTTCCATTTTCCGAATCCGGCTGCTGACCTCGTGAATGTCGTCAGCTTTAGATGGATTTTGTAGGGTGCACGGGAAGGGAGGTTGCTGATGGAATCTCGCTGATGCTTGTCCTGGGCTGGCCAGGAACTGCTGCAATTTTGGAAAGAGTGTGGGGTCTCAGTTCGTTTGACTGCCCAAGACAGTTGTGCACATCCAGTTGCCATCATCGGCTTAGAATTGCAGTACGGCCGCAACAAGTGGCAAGTTGGTTCATGTCGCAGAGGACACCTCAAAGAAATGCTGGCCACTGCCAAGACCTGCCTGCTAGTGGCAAGCCCTATTCTCAGCACAGGCAGTTCGGCCGAGGCTCCAACCTAAGGTACGGTATCAGTTCAGCGTGCGTCCAAAGAGCCGAGGCCGAGGCCCAGCATTTCCGGAGCTTCCTTGGTCCACCCTTGCCTTGCGTTGTCTTTCAAATTTGAGTCTTGGTTTCGCTTTTGCGCTTGCACGCTGCTGCTCGCCATCGGCGCATTTGCCCGCAGGCTTTTGCTGTCATGCAGTCCACAGTACTCTACCCTTGCAAATTCAGCAGAGCTAATGAAATACAAAATATAATTATGCTACTAATATAAGAAGAGCAACCCCCCCCAGAAAGCCACAAGATTGCAAAGCGCGCCCAGAGCCATGGAGGCCCCTAGCGGCGCCTTAGGAGACCCCTGGCTGGACCAGCTTCCGGGGGTCGTGGCCGGTGCATTCCTCAGGCGCAGAAGCATGAACGAACATGTGGGGTTGCATGTCGCCTGCAATCTGCTCCATGAGTTGGCCCCCCCACCCTACTACTATTCTTCTTCTTCTTCTTATTATTATTATCACGATTTTATATTATTATTATTATTATTATTATTATTCCCAAAAACATCTCGGATGTTGGGTTCTCGTTTAGGTTCAAAACGCGAGAGAGCGATACCGGATGATACCGGGGAATGGCGGCGCGGGGTGAAAGCGAAACGGGGATGAAAACGAAGCGGTGATGAGAAAAACGGGTGATCAGAGCCGCGGGGTGAAAACGAAACAGGAATGAAAACGAACCGGGGATGAAAACGAATGGGGGATGGCGTGGGGATCAAAGGGCCATGTGAAAACGAAACGGGGATGCCGCGGGGATCACGATGGCGGGACGAACACCTAACGGGGTTGAAACGAAACGGGGATGAGGAGGAAATGGGCATGGCACGGGGATCACAATGAGACGGAGCGAAAACGAAACGGGGTGGCGCCTGCGGGGATGAAAACGAAACGGGGATGAGAGCGAAGCGGGGATGAAAACGATATGAAAACGCAACCGGGAGAGATTTTCGTTGAATGTATTCCGGACTGCGGCGCGTACTGCGGCGCGTACTGCGGCCGGCGCGTACTGTGGCGCGTACTGCGGCGCGGGAAGCTGAGGGATTTTCGTTGAATTGTAGTACAAATGTAGTACAAATGTAGTACTGGGAGGACAGAGCCGGAGGGGCGCGAGAGCGGACTGCGGCGCATACGACAGCGCGGCGGCGCGGGAAGCTGAGGGATTTTCGTTGCATTGTAGTACAAATTTTAATGTAGTAGTGGGAGGACAGAGCCTGAGGGGCGCGAGAGCGGACTGCGGCGCGTACGACGGCGCGTACGGCGGCGGTTTGTTGAACTCTGCGAAGATGATGACGCGCAAAACAAGCAGAACCGTCCCTGCAAAAATCAAGGAGGAGCTGCAGCGATCCGTTGGAATAGGCGTACTTTGGCCAACGCTGTCCTACGCCCAAACATGCAAAACAAGGGCTCCTCCAAAGCTTGCTCAGAATCATGTGCCTGGCGGGCCATGAATGTCCAACGTAAAAAGAGGTTTGGCTTCTTGAGTTGTTGCTTCTCAGCGACCCTGCATTTTGCACTTCTTGAGGCTTGCGAAAAGAGGTTTCTTAAGCAGAAGAGACGTTTGCTGAAAGAGAGGGAACAGAACTGCAGACAGGTCACGTGCCCTAAGCTCCTGGCCTTGGAAGGAAGTACATTGCGCAGCGCTTTGTGTCAACTTTGGGCGGTGAGGCGCCGTGTGCAGATGGGTAAAGTCAAGCAAGGCATCGGATTCCACAGCTGCTCTTGGCTGCCTTGTCCTTGGGGGAGTTACCAAAGTCGTAGCCCGTGGGGCCTCATTTCGTTCATGCTTCATCTCGCTTCGTGTTGCACTATTCCTGGAGTCTGGTGCAGCACACCGTAGTGTCTTGCCAATGTGGGAGAGTTCGCTGATGCGTTTGGAAGCAAGAGCTTGCATCGCCTGCAGGTTCACAAGTACTCGGAGCACAATGGCCTCTCCTTGCATTTCCTTCCACAACAGGATCAATCATCCAAGAGAGGTTGCATGGTTTTCCTGCATGGAGGCGCTGTGCCACTGCCTGATGCTTGCGCGTGAAAGTTCCAAATTTCAAGCGAACATATGCACAGGTGGCTTTTTGGGTGGAGCTCCTTCCCAGTTCTATCCTTACGCAAAGGACCTTTGGCGGCCAACAAACGCCTGAATTCTTTGCCAGTGTCCATGAGTGACGATGCATGTTGCGAATCCTTGAGGAAATCTCCCGGCGCTTCGGCATCTCCACAGCATGTTGTGAGGTGAGCTGCTTCCTGACGCATCCCTTCTCCAAGGCCAGATTGCTCGCGTTATCTTCTTGTTTGTCAGTTTCTGGCGTCTGGCTGCTCTTTTAGCTTGTGCAGTCCATGCTGGTAAGGCGCCCTTTGACAGCATCGATGATGCCCAGCGTTGTGTGCGCTATTTGCAAGAGAATGCAGACGACATGGGCATCGACCGTGAAAAGATTGTCCTGGCAGGCGGTGCACTTAGACTCGCCGTGAGAAAGGTGCTGCTGAAGGGGAGATCAGGTATGAGGCTATGAACACCTATGATACGTATGGCCGTTCGTTGGGATGAAGAGTTTGCCATCATCTAGCTGGTTTCAGTAAACGGACGATGTATCACAACCTGACCGCCGAACGTGCTACATGTTAAGGTTCGTGTCGTGAAGATTGCTAGCTTCAGGTGCCTCAAGCGGAGGCCACACGGCAACCATGGCAGCACTCCGCGAGAATCTGGGCCTGGCAGGGCGGCCAGTCGAAGATTCTGGCTAACTGAGTAAATGCCCCAAGCCGACAGACAGGGGATTGTTGGAAGCTTATGCATGTTTACGTGCAAGGCGAGCTCATGCAGTGAGGCCTGCAGATGCAAACATACAAAAGCACCTGCGATTCGTGGAGGTGCTTAGAGTCTGGAGTTCTGGTGCCGAGGCTGGTGCTCTTCAATCCGGTGCTCGACCTGGAGTTCGCGCGGCGCTTCGGCGAGCGCCAGCTGGAAGCTCGGCTGGGCTCCTGGGCACTCCGCTGCTGCTACGGCGAGGGCCGGCTGCGGGCCAACTCGCCCTTGCATTCGACGCGCCAAAGGCTCAGCAAGAGCCCAGAAAAGAGCCCAGAAAAGCACCGAACGACTCGGAAAAGCTCGCTCCGCGCTCCAGCTCGGGTGGGCGTCCACGTGCGTCCACGTGCGTCCACGTTCGTCCTAGGTCAGCTGTCGCAGCCCACGCTCATTCTGCATGGCACCGCTGACCATCTCGTTCCAATCGAGGAGGTTGAGGGCTTCCAGCGCGGGAAGCTTGCCATTGCAACTGCGAGTGAGTTATGGGAGGCTGTCAGGTTTTAAAAGCAGCTGTAACAGGCATTTGCCAATTTGCCAAGCTCGCCTGTCAAGGATGGAGACCACAGGCAGTGACTGCAAACTGGTCACTTTCCCTGGTGAGGGGCACTTCTTCTTCAACTGGAGAGCTTCTTGGACGCAAGGTCCGTTGCGCTGGAGCTTGCGGTTTTTCCTGAAGCTCGACGCCAGGTTTCGCCTGTGAATTTCGCTCACTGTGTCGGGCTCGTGGGTGACTTCCTTAAAGGAGTCGGTGTCCTGCACGGCTGAAGCAAGCCGTTGGCGAAGGGTACAACCGCAAAAGCGTCGATAGCGAATGCGAGAGCCAGAAAATCGTACAGAAATTGCACAGAGCCTTTTGTAGCTTGTTGAATTCGGCATGAACGAAGCAGCGATGGGCAGCCGATTGAGTGACGTGCTCTCCTAGGTATGGACACCTCTTGAGACTGTCAAGGTATGCTTCCCTTGCACATGTTGGCACTCTGACTCACTTGCTGCACTGTCGATCCTGGGCTGCGCAACGGTCGCAGTATGTGGAGTGCGCCATGCTATGCCCGTTCAGGGACAGGCGCTGCTACGTTTTTGGAGCGCCTTTTTCCTCTTTGAACTGCGGCTTTTCTGCAGCTCTCCAGCAGTTTTCGAGCTTATGGGCGAAAAAATGTGGTATAATGATAGTATAATGCTTGGCATGACTGAATGCTGTGATATGTTGTGCTAGTTGGGGGCCTTTGGCAGACGACTCCCGTGCAGCGCTTTGAAGTGCAGAGCGCATTGACCGTTGACAAGGCGCAACACGCGAAACCAAGGCATCTGTACTAGGGATCAGACGTGCACTGTGCAGTGAGTTCAGCGAGCAATGAGACGACAACCAAGACCAAGAAGCAACCATGAAGGGGACCTGACAGATGGCAGAGAGCCAAGAAAGCTCTGGAGCTCAAGGCCCCCAGAATTCCATAAATTCCTTCAAATTAGCTGTTGCTTTTTTTAGAGCATTCATATGCCCGTTCGAGCTGCTTTCGGAGAGAGGTGTCCGATGTGTCCGGCTCCACGTGCGGCGCCTCAGCGGTGAGCGTGTCGTGCTCCAGGCGCCGGTGAGCTGGAGCGACGCTCGGAGCAATCTTCGGAAAAGAAGCTTGTTGGAGGGTTTGTGTCAGGTTTTGGGGTGAGAGGCTTTTTGTTGGCAAGAGGTGATGGTCGATGTGTCTCGGAGCGGTGCGCAGCAGATCACAGCAGCTGTGCTTTCGAAGTCTTGCTCGTGTATGGCATTGTGGTACTTCGTGTTGACGTCGCGGGTTTCTACACAACGTGCATCTTGTTGCTGTTGAATATGTGAGGTTGCGCAGCTCCGCGCAGCTTTGGCCAGCGCCTTGCCCGAGAGGGAGCAGCGCCTTGTCTTCGAAGGCACGAAGTGCGGAAGTGTACCTTCTTGCGCCAGCCGGCAGGGTATCGCAGGCTTGGGTAAAGGAGAGAAAGACAGAAAGAAAAAAGAAAGAAAGAATAAAGAGAGAAAGAGAGAGCAAGAGAGAAAGAAAAACCCTGGCAGTGAAGCCGACTGGAGGGCAAACACACAAAGTCCCCAAAAGGGGGGCCTACGACCGACGACAGAGGACCGCTCAGCCGTCGTGGCGGGGGCCTCTTTTCGGGGGTCCTCCTAAGCGTGGAGAAATAGAAGAAGAAGCAGAAGAAGAAGGAAGAAGAAGAAGAACAAAGAAAAAACAACAAGGGACAAGCACCAACCGTTGGCAGCTTGCCTCTCTCAGCAAAGGTTTAAAGTGCATTGCGGCGATTTGTGTGAAGCTAACTGCATGATCGCATTGCGTCATTTCTGCACGTTTCTAAACATTTCTGCTGCTCTGCAGTGCGGGCTCCCAGCTGCGCAGCGCATTGCGCAGCCATGCAGGGTCTAAACACGAATGGCGCCCTGCCCGCGCTGTTGAGAGCACTTACTGACCTGGATCTCTTCACCTCTGCGCTCGTCTTTGTGACTCCGGTCTGCCTTGTGCGGTTGGCTCGTGCATGCGTGCCGCTGAAGCGAATCGTGAGCAGCGAGGACAGGTCTTGACAGGGACAGGACTTGACAGGGCTTGACAGGGCTTGGGCGCTCCCACGCACATACAACACAATATGGGCACACAGTGGCCTTAGACCTAGAAGGTATGCATGGTATGCCTTCGGAAGATCTAAAGATGTGAGGAGGTGCTCGGGTGGTTGGGAGAAGCAGCGAGCTCCAGCCGGTGGCGCGAACCCGCCTTGATGCCGACGGGGAAATGGAGCTTAGAACGGCTTCACCTCTGCCTGGAGCCTCCGAAATTTCCGCTGATTTACTTCGACTTTGCAAATGATGCCTTGGATGCCAAGGCAAGGCGGAGCTTGGAAGTGGTTGCTGAGATTCTCCAGCGGCATCCTGGCCTCTCCTTGCTCATCAGAGGCACGCGGGAACGAGCAGTAAAACCGATGTGGAACTTGTACGAAGTTGTAGCAGCGACTTCTCCACGAACATGCGCTGCTCAGCAGAGGCTATGCTCGCCCCGAAGCGCCGCCCGACTTGGGCGTAGCACTTTCTCAGGCGCGGGCTGCAAGGGTCCGCTCCCATCTGCTCGGCCTTCTGAGATGGGACGAGGATGCAAATGATGGGGTCCGGGATGAAGGCTACAGCGAAGGATATCCAGACCTCGATGACGTCCTGGAATTCTACAGCCGACGTGTCGTTGGACGGAAAATTAGGGCAGTCGGTTGCTGGTGCGAACGTATGGCTCCGCAGCTTGCTGGCTTGGGTTCTTGTGGCGGACAGTCTGCTGAAATCGTTATTCAGAGCTTTGAAGACTCTGTCTCATGACCTTCCCCCCGGCTCCCAACCGCGCAAGCTCGTTTCGTTGACGTCGTTGACTATGGAGCGGCGAACCTTTGTCCGCCGGGTGCCTCCGGGTCAGCACGCAGCACAAAATCTGCAGGGCGCCTGCCGAGCTCTCCTGAGGGACTGTACGGTCTGTTGCATAAGTTGGATAGGTTTCATGGCTTTTGCATCATCATTGGCATGTCGTGGCATTCGCTTGTGAAGCCACCTCCCGCGAGGCCGAGAGCTCAAGAGCCACGACAGTATCGGCGATCTCCCTTGCAACGATGAGGCGATCGAGCTGACACTCATCAGGCCTCCCGTGCACGAGCAAACAATGCAAACATCTGCTGGGAGCCGATTCCTTAGGTAGGAACACCAACCGGCTTGCCATCAAGTCTTGCATGCTCGACCACGTGTCCCTTCAGCCCAAGCACCTCTCCTGCTGAACAATGCATTGAGATCAGTTCAGGTTGTGGGTTGTTTGCAATCGTGAATTGAGAATCTGCCCGTGCTGTATCCAGTCAATGCACTTGCGTACAGCTGCCGCTTGGAGTCGACGTTGACATATTGCTTGCCGAAGTCAATGTTAAGAAGGCCAGAGCATATGCCGCACTGCAAGAAGCCGGGCAGGCGGCCTCCTTTGCAGGCATCCTGGCTGGAGCGCGTCCAGGTGGGACGGGGTCCGACTGGAAAAACAATCAAAAACTGGAGAAACTGGTACTGCAAGATATGGTACGCCTTCCGATCTGCCTCTTTGCAAGGCCTCTGCAGATCAGCTCAGGAAAGCCCCGAGATCGATTCGCTCCGACCGGGAGGCAGAGCTAAGCAAACCACAGTTCTTTGGCGAACCTGTTGACTCACTGAGCAGGTTGTTCTGTGTCACTTGGATGCCCTAGTCGGAAAGCTTTCCGTCTTGTTCTGATTTTGCTCTTGGTGGTATTTGGTGGTGACATCCGATATCCGATAGCCGTCGCAGTCCATCCTGGGCAGCAGGCTTGAGCCCTAAGGTGCCGTGAGCCAGCGTGGAGATTTGCTGGAAGTGGCGTCGGAGGTGCCCTCTACAAGTTTCCGGAAAGCACAGTGCCGTGCGGTTTTCAAGGAAGTTTGATAGTGATCGAAGAAGTGCCATGAAGTGTGTTGCGGCAGGCACTCCGGGCAGATGAGGAGGTTGTGCTGGCCGCGCTGCGCTGGGACGCACAGGCTTGCCTGTGCTAAGCAACAATTTCGTACCATCTTTGCCAACTCAATAGGCTTTCTTCGGCTTGCTCTACATCTTTTTTCCATGTTATCCTCTCCTGCTTTTCTGCTTCGCCGAGTTGCCGAGCCTGGGCCACCTCAGAGCCTCGCAGGTCCTGGCTTTCGCTGCACCGGTTCTACTCGAAAGCCGGGGCTTTGCTCTGCGTGCTGTTGCTTCCGACGGCCGTGCCCTGGAGTGCCTGAGAGGCGGTTGGCTGCTTTCAGTTCCAAACTTTTGCTTTGACAGCGCTTGGCCTGCTCGAACAAAGCTGACAACATTTTGCTGAAGAAGCGGACTTGTGAAGTTGAGGTTTTTGAGCGACACCTTCAGAGAAGACCGAGAGGCTGCAATCTACCTTCGTGCCTCATTAGGGTCGGCTTGAGAGGGTGCCATGTCTGGAGGTGGTCCTTGCTGCTGTCAGTGTGGGCCTCAAAGATCTTGGAATGCGGTGGCAATGACACTCATACGACTCATGTTCTATCCCGTCTATCCCCTTGCACTTCGATTGCGTGACGCATACAGACGTTTCTTCGGATCGCTGCAGTATCCATCGAATGAAATGCAAGGTCAGTATGGCTTCATGCTCGGTCATGCCGGTGATGCTCTCCGAGCAGACAAACAAGTGGTTCTGGCAACTGTCAGACAAACAGGAATTGCATTGCAGTGTGCGGCCAAGGAGACCAGCTAAGCTCCCCTGCCATGTGGAATATTGCAAAGTGCAGATTCTCTGTTGCCGGCGCAGGAGATGTATGCAGACAGGGAGGTTGTTGTGGAGGCTGTCAGGCACCAGAATGCTTCTGACAAGCCCTGGATGTTGTCGGATGCCATCGAGATTTTTGTTGGGTTGTAGAGCAGGCAGAATGGATTGGCCTTGGAGTTTGCATGTGACGAGCTCCGAGCCGATCGGGAAGTGGTCCTGACCGCTGTTTGTCAGGACGTCCGCTCGTGATTCTGCTCATTCTGCCTTGCCTGTGATCGTCAGTCGCAGATGCAAGGATGGCCTGGCACTGGCATTGGCTGCATCGATGCTGCGAGGCGATCGCGAGGCTTGGACACCCATGTCGTTTCATGGAGTACAGCACGACTTGTACAGACAACACCGTGGCTGATGTGTACTTTTTCTTGCACTTCGCAAGGTGGTGCTCGAAGCAGTCAGCAGGCAGGGCAGGATGTTGGCCCCTTGTCTTCCAGACCACAACAGAAAATGTTTCTCGATGTTTCTCGTACTTGCCAGCAAGATAGCGGCAGAAGCTGGAGCTAAGGAGTTCGCGTCCGAAGAGCTTCAGGCAGACCGCGACGTAGTGCTCACAGCCGTGAGGACCGGCAGGTCGCAATTTGCTTTTGGCAGGTTTCAGATTCAGGTCCTCACCACACTCTGGTTGCAAGGGGTCAGAAATCCTTCGGTGTCCTTGTGTAGGACGTCTTGAGACCACGTACAGTAGGACTTCAGTTCATGCCTTTTTGCACCGCTGCCGCTTTTTCATCTTCTGCAAACTGCTTGCAAAGGACCTCCGGCATGGCGTTGAGATTTGCATCGGAGCTACTGCGGTGTGACCGCGCCGGGCCACTCTGGGGACAGGGCGCATTCATGCAAGTATGTTTGGCCACAGGACCATAGGCACGAGCAAATCCCTGAAGGGGGTCGAATCATCTGATCTGTTGGCTGTGAAAAAACCTCAATACCTTCAATTGATACGGAGTGGTGGTTGTTCGGGCCAGCTGAGGAGATTGTGCTCACTGCTGTGATGCAGAATGGCAATATGCTGGACTGCGGGTCTTCGGGTGGTTCCAGTGCCACATAGTACTACATTTTACTACATATGCTAGGCCGACTCTTTCAGTCTGGGCATCCTAGAAGTTGGAGCTGGAACACGGCCAGTTGGACCTGGCGCATCTGTGCAGGGGCTTACCGCAATTTGTTTGTGGCTAGTGCGGTAAGCCAATCGACTTCAAGCTCTCGTTCGGGGGGGCCCCTCCCGATTCTGCAGCGCAGGTTGTCAGGTTGGCACTCATCTTGCAAGTTGATCTTAACAGAGAGATGTTGTACCTTAGTAGATCATCGCAACAAGGGGTCTGTGGGTTGACCGGTGCTCTTTCGCTTGGTCAGGAGCAAGCCGCGCTGCCTCTCAGGAGGGACAGGGAGGCACACCGCATGCTATAAAACAGCTGCGCTTCAGACAATTTCCAGCAGTTTGTCAGAAGCTGCAGGTAGTACTGGGCGCTTTGAATGCAGCGGGCCGAACGCTGCTTTATGCCGCCGTTGATCTCAAGGCGACTTTTCCGCCAGCCCTCTTGTCCGTGTGTGCTGTTTTGTTATTCTGGAGCTGCAGGCCGGCGTGGATGTTCTCCTCCAGCTCATTGAGTGCCACGGCTCTGTTCTGAGCTGCGCCGCGTTGCGCTCTGACGAAGAGGTGCAAAGCCTTGCAAGGCGGGGTGCAAGTGGCGTGCAGGCAGCGAGGTCGAGTGAAGCCATGGCAATCGCGTCACTGTGGCAAGTTGAGAGCCTTTTTGTGTTAATCGTTTTTTTGCTGGCAAGGTGCAACATTGAGAGAACGCTCACCGAGGGTGCAATCGAGTTGCGTGAGGCCCGCACTGTGAGATGCAGAGTGAGAGAGAACGCTCATGAACGCTCAATGGCGCTGCAGTGTGGTCCCCGCAGGATCCCGAAGTCCTGATGGCAATGGTGAAGCAGCACAGCACCTTGTCTCACACTCCATAGGAATGTCCGAGGTTGAGAGAGGAATGTCCCCGCTGTCTGCACTTTTGTAGAAACATGTTGCAGCTACTGACAGAGGCAACATTCTGAACTTTGCATCGCCGAACATGAGGGCACACAAAGAACTTGCATCTTGCCCGCACAATGTATGACAATGCAGTTTTGCTGAAGGCTGTATGCCTTGGCAACGAGTACTATGCATCTCTGTCTGTGTGCAGGCGTGCGTGCGTGCGTGCGTGCGTCTGTGCGTGCCTCTGTGCGTGCCTCCGTGTGTGTGTGTGTGTGTCTCTGTGTGTGTGTGTGTGTGTGTGTGTGTGTGTGTGTGTGTGTGTGTGTGTGTGTGTGTGTGTGTGTGTGTGTGTGTGTGTGTGTGTGTGTGTGTGTGTGTGTGTGTGTGTGTGTGTGTGTGTGTGTGTGTGTGTGTGTGTGTCTGTGTGTGCCTGTGTGTCTCTCTCTGTGTGTGTGTGTGTGTGTGTGTGTGTGTCTGTGTGTCTGTGTGTGTCTCTGTGTGTGCCTGTGTGTGCGTGTGCATACGTACGTGCAGCAGGTGCTCTGCGCGGTGCGGCAGAATGGCCTCGCCTTGAAGTTGGCCGCTGAGGAGCTGCGGGACGATCCAGAAGTCGAAGCCTGGCTGGACGATCAGTGCTCGTTCGCTCGAGTGTTGGCTTTAGGTGTTGGCTTTATGTGTTGGCTTTGGGTGTTGGCTTTGGGTGTTGATATGCGTTGAAAAGGAGCGGTTGAGCTCTTCATGCGTCACGCAGCAAGCGACGCTTTGTTCAGGTATGTGCGGCTGTCTCACAAAATGGTTTGGCTTTGGAGCGCTTCGCCTGCAGTGGGGCATTTAGTGCGTTTGCTGTGCGAAAATGATTCGTTCACTTCCTTTTACTGACCTGAGGTTTGCCAGCGAGGCTCTTCGTGCTGACAGAGAGACCGTCAAGTGTGCACTTCATCAAGATGGCCAGGCGCTGCTCAAGCATCAGTGATTACCAGTGTTTCCGAATCAAGAACCCTCCGTGGCAAAAGGACATGAGCCCCAGCATTTGCAGTCGCGCAACCGTGCCCAGCACCGGCAGCATTGCGCAAGTAAATCGTGCGCGGAGAAGCATGGGCATCGGCACACTGCATGCGCACATCCACCAACCTGGATCCTGGGTGGGGAAAAACAGACGCCGATGAGGAACGTGGTTTCTGCGAGTGCCGCAACAAGGGTTTCAGCGACCGCACGACAAGTCGTCAACGCTTGTGCACACTTGTGAGTCTTCCTGAAGAATCATCAGCCCTGAGCCCTTCGCCACCCATTCAGGACAAGGGCATGCCGTCATAGTGGTGATAGTTGTAACATGATCAGAAAATGATACCATTTAGTCGACGGAAAGCATTCCCAATAATGACGCAACAACAGCGGCTATACAGCAAAGCCCTGCGCACTCCCAATACAAACACGTTGCATCAGTAGGAATCTCTTTTCGCTGACAGTTGGAATGTGTGGCTCGTAGTCACTGGAGTCGGGGCTGGATGGTCGACTGAACCATATCAGAACAATGAAGTTGTGTTGGAATGAATATTCAAATCCATGAAAATTGGTTAACATAATACGTCAAAACTTCAGAATTTGTTGCACAGAAGTTAAAGATGTGTCTCAATTTTGTGAGACAAGCTTCTCTGTTCAAGATTATTCTTCAATGAAATAAACTGTACATCGTTTGTATAATTTACACGAAAGGTTGGGTTTCTTCTGACCAGGCTTCACAAAGACTCGAGGTTCCGATAGCTTCTTCACGGTGCTCCCTGTCGCCCACAATATCGCAATGTCGCTCCTTGTTGTGGTTCCAAGCCCTCCAACGACTTCTGCATGGTAGCACATGACGGGAACAGCTGGGTTGTGCCCCAAGACGTAGTCGCGGAGACTGAGTTAGGCCTTGTGGCCGTGGTGACGTTTTCCAAGTTGAGTTTCAACCCTGTGGTGTTGCAACGCACCCAATCCCGTCCACTGCCCGTTCCGCAGCCAGGCGTTGCAATATGCAGCGGAGACTCTGAGCATCTCGGCAGGTTTTGCGAAAACACTTTTGTGTGACGTGAGCATAATGTTTCAGACTCCTTTGTCGTTCTGGACAATGCTTTTTTTCTTGCACAAGGAAAAGACCGTGAGTTGGTTATGGCTGCAGTAGAGGAGGACCAGCGTGCCCACAATGCAAGGATTCTGCGTGACGTAGGTTGGCTTTCGAGAAGCCTTGCAGCATGTATCAGCATGTGCAGTTTGACTCGCAATCGGGTCGGGCTGTGTGAGGATGTTCTCTCCTCGCGCTTCGCAGCACCTGTGTATCCCCCGGACCATTTCGTGATTGTAGCGGAAAGCTGGGAAGACGATGCGTCAAAAAATGTGGTGGCGAAGTGTTGAGGAACTTCTTGATTTGCTTCTGGGCACACCCTCCCTGTCCTCGTGTCCATCTTCGCGGCGGAGGTTGGGCAGTGCATGGCAGCGCAGACAGTCTAGACTTGTCATGAAGTCCTCCGAGACAATTCCGATACATTCCGACACCCACCGGCATCCGGCGAAGCGAACCAGCTGGTGGCAGGTGTCCTGCACCGTTGAAGTGCCGCTTGCAGAAGCGTCGCAAAACAAAGCCGTGCATGTATTTGCCACGCACACCAGGGTTCGACAGCTATTTCATTGCGCAGCGTGGTCCTGCTTTTGCATTTTCCCACCTATCAGCGTGCACTTATACTCTGTCGCAGCATGTCACAGCAGCGGGCTGCCCACGCAGGGACACGTTGGGACATCCTTGCAGAGGACGAGGTTAGACCATGAGCTTGCGCAGGGTTTTGCATGACCTGCCTTCCTGCTAAATATTGTTGATGCAGCATGTATCCTGGAGGCAGCAGCAGGCGGAAGGGAAGGACTTCTGTGCATCGGTGTCCGAACAGTGCTGTGGCCTCAATCTCTTTTGATGTGTGGTGCCACCCCTGTGAAACTGTCCTAGCGCAGGATGGGCCATTGAAGCCTTTGCAACAGTTACGGAATGAGACTCTTGGCTTCGCTCGGTGGTGGCGCAGCCCAGCAAGTCATTCGGTGAACCGTCCGGTCGTGTGAGGAAGGCGGCCGATGACAAGAAGGATGCATCAGCGAGCTGCGCACTCCGAACAGCAGCAAATGGAGCAGAGAAGGAGCCAATGCCGGCATCACGCATGATCATGTGTCGGGCCTGCGTTTGTCTTGTTATCTTTGACATGTCTGTTGTCTTGAGCCTTGAGGACGTGATCGTATCTGGTGACAGTCCTGTTGGACAGACGCACACCTGGAGCAGCAGGAAGATGCTTAAGCTGTTGATGCATAGAGTTTCATGTCGCCTAGTGAGTCTCGAAATATTCAGTATGGCCCCGTAAGCAGCTGCTTGGCAGGAGCGCGCCGCAGATTTTTTCGGATGGGGGCGAGGTTCCGCTTGACAAGGTTGGGTCTGCAGTAGCGTTTTTCTGGCTGACGTCACCACGACAACAACAGCAGGCGTTCGCTGAGCTCGCTGTGGGTAAGCTTGAGCTGGAGGAAGGTGAATTGAGCGACGATGGCCCGGATCCAACTGCGTGCCTGGCTGCAAGTCATTGACAGCTTGTGCTCCTGGACATTCCTGGACCCATGCCTATGTAGGTCGTATGCTAGCGGCTAGCGCTAGATTTTGCCTATTGCAGAGTACCGTCATCTAGAAGCTCTGACCAGGCATGCGGGCAACCTGCCGGAAGTGTCACAGAATTCCGACTCTGATGGGGAGGCCACGATGTGGAGAAGTGGAGAAGTACGTATTCTGTTTACGGAAGACCCCCGTTGCCTTCTGCTTTTTCGCAGGTTGAGGAAGAGGAGGAGGAAATGGAGGAAGGCGAGATAGTGGAGAAGTACCTTGGCCTTTTGCGTGGATATGCTCTAGGTTTGATCTGCTCTGCTTTCCTGCTCACTCCTCCAAGGAGCTCTACAGGTGCGGAGCCTGGGGAGATGGATGGCCCCGAGGAGGACGACATTTGTAAAAGATGCCTTGTGTCTTTTTGGGTCTTTCTGGCCCCAGCCCCAGCCCTCCTGCATGTAAGGACGGAGGACTTGAAGGTCTCGAGGGAGCGGGCGACACCGAGACAGAGGAGGCAGAGCCGAGCTCCGATGGAGAAGTTCAGGATGAGAAGGAGTCGAGTGAGGATGAGCCAGAGGAGGCTCAACAGGACAAGCAGGACCAGGACGAGAGCGGGGCAGAGACAGAAGATGAGGTGGGAAGCGAGAACGACAGCAAGCAAAATCAAGCAGGGGACGGATCCGTGCAGAAGGTGGTTGAGGAAACGGAAAGTGCTGGTGAGTATCTTGGCATCGTTGAAGAGGTGTTTAATGGAGTTTTCGAGCGGCTGCGCGCCTCAGGCTGAAGGTAGTGGGTGTTCTCCCTTGACTGAGAAGGAACGAATCAACTTCCGACGGTGAGCTCAACGCCAAGGACTCCGAGCCTAGGCGCTATGGAGTCGGGTCACAAGCAACAAGGATTGCGCAACGCATCTTGGGTGCATGCATCAATCTTGGCGGCGCAGCGTAGGACCAGGATGAGGACGGCGAGGAGGACGAGGAGAAGGAGAAGAGAGTGCCAAACTCTGTGCGCACGCCCAGTGAGCCGCCACCCAGAAGGTCGGTGGAAGCATGTCGCCAAAGATCTCGTCGCAGAGCAGCGGGCACCCGGAATACTTCGAGACGGCACACCCCACCACGAGCTCGCAGCCGTAGCGCTCGGCGTCCTAGTGCTTCTTGGCCGTCATGGCATTTCAACCTGTGCTCTTTTTCAAGTTTTGGTGCGGTGCTGCACTTTATCTGGACACTTTCCCATCTCTCGATTGCTGAGGTGCGCGTGGCCAATCGCAAGAAGCTCCCCAGGTGGGAATACAACAATGTATCCCAAAACAGCCTGGTTCCGTAGAACAAGCAGCAAATGCAAGCCCATCCAGAACGGTCCTGTAATTCCAGGGAGAGCCAACACGGCGAATGGGGGTTCCATAGATGCCGCGTGAGGCGTTCGGAGTGGGCCGGCACCCGCATCGAGCTGGGCTCCTCGAAAAGGAACAGTCACGTTCTCGTTTTTTCTCTGTGCGAGTTTTGTAGATGTCATCCATCTCTTCATCCTCTCCACCCTCCTCACATCCTCCGCACCCTTACCCCTCAGAGTTTCACGAGGCTTGTCGTCGCGCGGCCGGAGATCACCGAGCTCGAGCCGAAAGCGGAGGAGGAGAAGGTGAGAATCGCGCATAGCTGAGCACAGAGGGTTTTCGAGAGAGGTTGAATAGGCTTTGACATGGGCATGTTAGATCCCATCTAGGAGCAGCACGGCTCCTCGGACCCCGCGGACGCTTGAAGTGCCGAAGGAAAGGCGAACCAACTTGAGGCTGCGAGCGGCCCAAGGCCAAAGCAAGTGGGATGTAAGGCTGGGGATGGTACTCGAACATGCCTGCTGCTGTGGATGCGTGACTGATGGTAATTCTTGGTAGCAAGCCCCCCCCATAATTTGTTCGTTTTCTTGGTTTTCCGCGGTTTCCCATGAAAGTACACAGGACATAGAGGTTTTCCTCTTCAAATACAGATGACATAGAGGTTTTCCGATAAAAGTACAGTGTAATCGGAGGTTTTTTCATTGGAATGCAATGGAAACAGAGGTTCTCCTGTTCGAAATACAGGAAATGGAGGTTGGAAAACAAAATGGAAAGCTGCAAGATGTACAGAAACGAGTAAAGAACGAACCAAACCAGTACATACAACAAACAACATGAAAAGCCAAAGAAACACGTAAGGGCAGAAATTAAAAAAAGGCAGAAAAGACATAGAACACGAGAGAAGCATGACCTGCAGACAATGAATGCATAGAGAAGAACCAACGACAAACATATCAAGACACTACAGAGCTAAATATACATTATATATATATATATATGTGAACACAGGCGCGCGAAATTAGTAGATATTTGAAAGCATAAAGAACAGTATATAAAGCAAACATAACAATAGATAGGTACAGACTGCGTAGAGAAACTATTTGTTTGTAACCAAACAAAAGCAGAGTTGAAGCACTTCCAAACTCATATGCCTCTTCTCCATGCCCATCCCGCGAGCAATGTGTTTGCGTATAGGGGGCGAGGGCTGCATGGCCCATCAGTCGAGTCGAGTTTGGAATCCTCGTCCCCCCGCCCTGACGCCTAGGGATTCCCATACTAAGGGCCGTCTAGTACCCCCAACCCCTTTCCCCCGTCATGCGAACATTGTGTTTGCCAACGGGGTTAAGCTGCGCAAGCTTGTTCTGCAAGGAAGATAGGGCCGTCAAGAGCACTGCGCGCGCCCCGCATTTCTGTTTTTGATTGAGCCGTGCAAGCTTGCTTTATAAAATGATCATGCAATCAAGAGGACTTGCGTGAAGAAACATACCAATCCCCTCCAAACCCGTCATGGGAGCATTGGGTTTGCAAATGGGGGTGGGGGTGGGCGCCACATATTTGTTTCTTATTGCGTCGCGCAAGCATGCTTTGCAAAGAAGAACGAATCCTCTCGAAACGCGTCACGCGAAACCCGTCATGCGAGCATTGTTTTTTGCAAAGGGGGGTTGGGGGCTGAGCCCGGATTGTTGTTTGTTTGTAAGCATTGCGTGTTTAGGTTTGCTTTCCGAATTTCTATGTCTTCCACATCTTCAGGTCAATTGAAAATCTCTACTCCTTTTACGTTTTAGAGCCTTCTTGAACTTGTAATCGGCAACCTCTGCTTCCTTTCGTTCGTTGCTTGAGCCTCCCTGGCATTTTGCAAAGGCGCAGTTGTTCTTGAACCCTATGCCGCCTATGCCATACATCCTTTTCACCCCATTTAGGGAATGGTGAAGGAAATCCGGGATTAAGGTGGGCAGGGTCGGAGCGGCGCCTCAGGTGGCTCGAGCTTTGCATTGTCACAGGAAACCCTAGACCAACAGCTGGCCAAAGAGCAAGACGAAAAATGCCAACTTAATTCCTCGCCCATATAGAAACGTATTCGCATCGGCTAGCTGCGGCTAGCTTTTGGTGTTTGGCCTGCTGGGCATTGCAGGCCAGATCCTACGAATCCTGACCAGCAGCCAATGAAGCTCTTGCTGGATCCCACGGCCAATGGTAAGAAGCGTCGGGAATGCTATGTCGGCAATCTCCCGCAGCACAAGGCTCATGTCGTGCTTGTGCAGTATGCACAGCTGTTGCGCCCTGTGCCTCCTCAATTCTTCGCAGGTTGACGTGCAGACGCTGCGACAAGCCTTCAATCGCCTCTTCTTGGCCCTTCCCAGCTTTGTGGAAAGATACCCAGACATCTCGGATGTTGTGCGCGCTCTCTACTTTCCTCCGAGGGGTGACGGGATGTTTGCATTTGTGGAGTTTGTAGACGACGTCATTACCACAACCGCTGTGCAGGCGGGGATTAAGTCTTCCACGCCCATGTATTATTAAGGTGTCCTGTGACGGTGCAGTTTGAGAGAGCTCTCCTATCACTGCCCTGCATGCTGTGCATAACTCGATTGCATCAGCTCATGAACGCGCGTTTAGCGATCAACCACAACAGCTGTGCAGATGAGCGGGTTCGAGTTGGAGCACAGGGCCATCAAAATTGGACGACCGCAGAACTACACACCCCCTCAGAACGGTGAGTTGCCCGCGCTTGACGTGCAGCCACTTCGTGATAGGGGGCTCTTGCCTCCATCCTTCGAAGATGAGCGAGTTGGAGTCGCCAATGTCCTGCGTGAAGTCTACTTCGGCAATCTGGCATGCGGAATGGTGGACGTGGAGGCGTGGTTTAAAACTGATACAAGACCATGTACCATGTTAGGGGATGTAGTTGAGCCACCTCTTCGGTGCCCTCGACATCTTGGACAGGTGATGCGTGAGCTGCTTCAGCCAGCAGCCGTGGAAGTTCCAGAATATGATCCAGAGTTGGGGCCTCCAATTGGGAAGGCACATGGCTGTCTGTGTGTCTCTGTGTGTGTGTGTGTGTGTGTGAGATTTTGTGTCGAGTTGCTTCGGGCTTCCTCATTTCGTGTAATGTCTCTGCAGTAGCCATGGCGTCATTCTTGCGCATGGTGGCGTGTAGCAGTGTAGCCTTTGGCAGGTCACCATTGCACCAACCGGAAACTACTGCTTTGTTCAGTTCCAGAGTGCTGCTGTTGCCACCCGCATGATCTCAATCTTTGATGAGACAGCCACGCGTCTGCAAGAAGCAGAGTATCCTGTGTTGCAGGCTGCATGTGTGCCCAGGGCCTAGGCAGCTCATCAAGCCCCCACTCTGAAGGCTGTAGAGACACGGACTTGCTGTGGAGACGTTGTGGAGACTCGGAGTGTTCTTTGGTCCGAGGAGCTCTTTGGTCGAAGGATCCGGGTTGGGCGTCCCAGTGCCTTCTGCTGCACAGATCACGCATTCAACTCAAAATCCACAGCTGTGTGGCTTGTGTGAAATTCTCTCGTTGCTTGAACTGTGAGTCCTTGAGTGCCAGGCAAGTATGCAACGACAGTCAATGAATGCCAACTCTCGTTGCCACCACCATCACCTCCGCCTGCCGCGCCGGTATCTGCGCCTCCCCTTCCGCCCGTTCCACTGGCTCCACATTATCTGGTGCAGGCGTACGGCTCAGTCTTACACCGGCTACGGGCAGCTACTAGCAGGGCTACGAGCTCACAGCTGCGAGGGTTGTGAGCTTGCCAAGGCTGCCAATGCGGAACTGGTGGCTGAATTGGCATCAGGTCGCTGAAGCTCAATACGGCGCAGATGTAGGGAGCACGAATCCGAGCTATGAAGAGGCGTGCCCTGTTTCACTCCTTTAGACGTTCCATGAATTCGAAGGGAGTCGACCGAAAGACATGACTCATATGCATATTGCCTATGTTCAGAAGATGCTGCCGAGAAGCCGGGACCGTGCTCAGCAGGTAGCAAGATAACCCTCTTGGCCCTTGGCAGCAATCTTTCTGGCGTGCAAATCCGACCGGTGACTTCAACACAGTTTGAAAATGAATGGTAGATGCAGTTCAATTTTCGACACAGCTGTTATCTGTGGTTTACAGTCACGCGTGCAAGTAGACTGACTTGGGCCTCAGGTCATGCAATTAAGAGGCTGTCTGTCACTACGACAGAATGTGTACAAAGCAATATGAAGGTATCTGGAGGCGCGAACACCTTTGGTTAGGCTGGTGGGGTCAGGATGGTGGGTCAGGCTCTGGTGGTGCAACTGCTGGCATTTCATTCATCGCTTGCCTGGAAAGGGTGGAACAAACTCCGCAAAGCCAAGACTTCAAGAGCTAGAGTCTGCAGCAGAAAGCTAGATTGTCCGCCTCCAGATGGACTTGCTAGTGCCGCTGCAGATGCAGCTTACAGCCAGGGGACAAGAAGCTAGATTTGACAGCTGCCCGGCCCAATTTGACAGGCCAGCGAAAGCAGATGTCCGCAGAGCGAAAACAAACAACGAGACCGGCAAACACTTCATTTGGAATGTTCCGAGTTGTGCTGGAGGTTGCATTTGAGCGACGCCGCCATGGCTGTTTGGGTTCAGATGGACTGGACTGAAACCCTCCAAGCCAGTCTCCGCTTTACCTGACACCGGAAAGGGGCGCGAGTTCCGCACACTGACGGGTTACATCGGGTTACACACGTGGTTTAGCTATGTTTAGCTACAGTCGCCCTTACTGTGAGCCCAGTTGCTGTCAGCAAGTTCTGCAACTCGTGTCGAAAGCAAAGCATCGACGGGTTAATTTAGACGCGTGCGCGCGGACTTGCTGGGCATGTACTCGTTTTTCATCAAGTAGCTGTGAATGCTTTTGGTCTCTGCACGCCGGCCCTTTTCCTGTCTGTAGTCCCCGCGTCAGATGCCATGTCCTTCACATCTCTCGGCTTCGCATTCGGCTTCCTTTGCTCGCTTGGACGGAGTCAACTTCTTGCCGCAGGCTCGGATGTTGCCTCCTTTAAAGACTGGAACGCCGTATTTTGACACAGTGAGTTGCAGTGGCACAGGTAGCGCGGATGTGTCTCGCATGTTGTGTTTTGGAGGATCCGTTGAGAGTGGCTGCGCTGCTGTGACGTTGGACTCCGAGCCTGGCCTGCTGCACCTGCTTCAGGTTCGATTTAGGGAGGATAGCGAAGTGCAGTGAAATGCACTGAAGTGCAATGAAACAATGAAAAAAGCAGAGAAATGCAATGATTGCTCTGCAGCTCGAAAGGCGGCTGTGGCCCGTGGGTCACCAGCCTCGCGGGCAAAGGCTGATCGGATCGGGCTGCAAGGGAGACCACTCCAAGTTCCCAAGCCGGCTGAGCCCACGGGCCATAGCGACAAGCAGCAGTTCTGGGTTCTGGCGTGGCCATTTAGCAACATCACCCTCACACTTCCTGCAGCAGTTGTTTGCTTGCATACCTTGATCCTCTGAGCGCTGCTTAGTGAGCCTGGCAGGCCATAGGCCCTCTGTCCCTGGTGTCGACACAAAGATCGGAACCTCTGGCTGATCATGAGAAGCCCTCTTTCCGGTGCAAGAAAGCATCTGCGGGATCACTGAGGAAGTGAGCACCGGGCTTGTGGCCATCATGGAGAAAGCCAGTACCGGCCAATGGAGTTTGTACAAGGAGGCACATTGACAGCTTGAAAAAGGGCAGAAGGCGTGTGGGATGGTGCTTCGAAGATTTGCTCGGCCATCTTGCCAGCAGTGAACCTAAAGTTGTGCGTCCGTCTCCAAGACCAGGGACAGCACGTGGCTTCGGTACATGCTGTCGCGGCAACGCAACATGAAAAGCCGCAATACTCGTAGCAAGCATCCAGAACGCTTTGTTCCATGTCGCTCGCAGCACGTGATTCGCGATTTTCATTGCAGCTGCATTGCAGGTTGTTCAAGACAACATCGCTGGTGGTGCTTGGCAGGCATGAGGAGAACTTGAAGCCTACGGATGGATTTTTCATGAGACTGTCTCATAGTTTGCACTCCATCAATTTTTTTGGCATCTGCTGGGCTGCACATGGATAGTAGGCAGGCTTAGCTGGAGATGTTCAGCGCGCATGTCAGTGTATTCTGGACGTCCTTTTCACAGGCACCCTGCGTTGCGCCAATGTACTACTGCTGACAAGGCCCTCATCTTCACAACCATCTTCCTAGCATCGGTCTTTGGAATATACTGGATGGCATGCATCCCCAGTGAGGACAAGCATGACGGCAACTTGGCTTATTGCAGGATCGCGACGGAAGCAATGCTTTGCTACAGTTTCTTAGCATGACACGCCGAAAGTGCCACCTGACCATCTTGCGTTGTTTCTCACTGAGCACGGGCAGACCCTGACACGGGCAGCAGATGTCGCGATGATGTCAGCTTCAGCTGTGTAGAACCTGTATGAGATGCTTGGGTGTTTCGAGGTGACCTCTAAACGTGATACATCGTACCGATTGATACCTGATTCTGGTCGGCTCTCAGGAAGAGATCCCAGGATGCTGGTTGGAAGATCTCATGGAACTGCTGGCCAACTGCTCTCAGGCAGACAGAGCCTCGATGCCAGGATACGAGACTCCAAGGTTCTAAAGAAAGGAAGATGGGGAGGTCTTGGGTAGTGTTCAACAGACGAAGTTGACCTCAAGTTGCCCCCCGAAGACCCCTAACTGCAAGGCGACCGTAAGGCCGACCGTACCCCTAAGGCCCCAAATCAGTTTGCCACTGAAGGTCCTGGAGGTCCTTTCGAAGGAATCCTTGAAAAGGGGCCCGCTGAAGCCGAGGATGTACCCCGCGATGTCCCAGCGCCCCACCCTCGAAGCTGGCTCCGTGCGGTCGCTGAACCCGCTGAACCCACCGTCCTCAATGAGATTGAGCACCGCGCGGAAGTCCACAGGCACCCGGGTTGCCCGAATCCTTCGCGGAAGTGAGCTAGGAAGTCGTGGGTTAGGAAACCTAGATAGGATGAGAAAGCGTGACAGATGACAGAGAACGCGGCAAGGGGGGTTGCATGCTGCTGAGCTTGGCAGGTGACAACTGGTACCCGGAGCTGCCCACCATCTACCCGCCACTGGTGATTCCAGCTGCCCACACGCGCCTGGCAGTGCCGGTTTCGCCGCTGTTTCACGACCAGTTCGAGGTGGATGTGCTCGGATTGTCAGGCCGGGTTAGAAGATGTGCAAAGACGCGCAAAGGGGCTGCAGAAAGCACATACTCGGGAGAGTGATGAACAATGCACAGTGGGCTCACTATTCATGAGTTTTGGAGCAGACGTTGCCTTTGTGCGGGGCCGGCTTGAAGACTTGTCTCTCATCAGGCGTGCCTTTGCTTACGGCAGCGCTCATGCAGGAAAATGGCTTGCGAAAGGCCCCTGGTTTGTGTCGCTTCGCATTGCACCAGATGCACCAGCTTGCTGCTTATGTTGCATTGGAGGTCCAGATCTCATTGCACAGCGCGGGCTCCGTGGCAGCAATCTGATGCAATCTGCGGTGCTTCCCGCTTCCCGTGCAGCCGAAGATCCCACACTCCAGAAAGCTGGCAGACTGTGCACACACACACACACAGAGACACACAGACAGACACAGACACAGACACAGAGACATACACAGAGACAGAGGCAGACACAGACAGACACGGGGCTCGAACTGCTGCATCTTAGGCACCCTCCTGGCAATTGTCACCTCCGCTCTAGGCTCAGAGGAGGAAACTGCGCAAGTCCTAGATGATCCTGAAGATGCTCGGCCGAGGCCAAAGAAGTCTTCGGCAGCGATGGAACTCACTTCGGAACACTGGTCCAGGCCCGTCTCTAACAATCGGGGTAACACGCAACTCCGAGATGCTTGGCAGCTTTGACAGCATCCATGAAGACTGGTTATGCGAGTATACGACGGAGCATTGTGGAGATGCTGGCAGGAGGGCGACCGCCCCGAGTGCCTTCAGCACACACTTCGGGATCGAGCTGGGCGACCCCTCCTTGTCTGGTGCCTGAGTGAACTCTGTGATCTCTGTGAAGCTGAGCTATGTCTGTAGGATAGGAGCTCTGGGGGGGGCCGAGGCTGTCAGCACACGCCAGGAGCGGGTGCAGCACACTCACGCCCCGACAGCTGACAGAACAAATCAAGTCGTACTGTAGTCTGAGTAAACGCTGGAACGGAAACCAGCGGGGTGTAACAGGAACCACTGGCAGAAAGCCGGGCGGAACAGAAGGGTGCAGCATTTAGGCTTTAGGCTTAATGAGGGTTTAGTGTTCACGGTTTTTGGGTTTATGCTTTAGAGCTTAAGGGTTCAACGTTACGGTTTGGGGTCGCGGCTTCAGGGATTGGAGGTTTCTGTTACGAGAAGTGGTGCGGTTTCCGTTACTGGTTTCCATGGTTTCTGTTACGGTTTCCCGCATTTGTTTCGTTACACCCTTTTTGGTTTCCGTTGCCACCCTCACTTTCCCACTTCAGTCCGGCTGCATCTGCATTATCCGGTCTTGTGAATGAGGTTCTCGACTTGAGATGGGCTGTTGTACAGCATTAAAGCATGTGACCCTTTTGGACGTGTGGTTTTGTCGGACCCGTGCCAGGACCGAAGAGATTACAAGATGACCTCTATCTCCGGAGGGCGCGTGCTCGAGAGGGTCGGAGGCTAAACTGGCAAAGCTACTCCGTTGGGAAGTGGGCGGGGCATTTAGAGCTTTGACGGCTGCACAGTGAGCCCGGAGAATGGTCAGTGTTAGGGTCTTGAAAGCCCTCCGCCCTGCGCCTTTCGTGCCCAGGCCACGGCAGTCCGGCGACCAGCCGGCAAATTGCCTGCGGAGCACTATGAGGCGTGGCAGTTGGGAGTACTGTGATGTGGTGGATCAACGGAAACAACGCCGTGCTGACTGACTTATGGCAGCAAGACAAGCCAACTTGAACAGGTTGTTGCAAATCCAAATGTGGATGCGGTGCTGGTGATGGCCTGCTTCCTCGCCGTTTTGGTCTTCAAGCTCTTTGTCTTCAGTTGCCTTCGCATGTCCTAGAAGATGAGTGCACAATGATCCAAAACTGTCTCCACCCATCATGTCAACGAGAATCCCAAGCTCGCATCGATCTGCCTTGCAATCACTTGCACTTGTTTGTTTGTCTGTTTGTTGGTTTGTTTATTAAACATGTAAGGTCTTCGCCGAGCTCGCCAATTGCAAGATCTGGCCGGGGGCGAAGATTTCAGGTTCAAAAAAGTCTGCAGGGCGCTCACAGTTCAGATTCAGAGAACAAGGGTAATAATCATACTAGTAATAAGAGTAGGAATAGTAATACTAGGAATAGTAATAGTAAGAATAAGAATACTAGTAATAGCTATAAGAATAATAGCGGGTGTCCTTCGCTTTTGCAGGGTTTTGAAGTGAAGTCTCCAGAGGCGCAGGCCGGCCTTCTGGCGAGACGGCCAACCTCACCGGCCGCTTTTGGGGCGACCTGGCCACAACTATGAATCAATATTTTTTATATTCCTATTATTTCTTATCAGTATAATTATTGTTAATTATTAGTATTGTCACGTGAATGTAAGAGGCATTTGTAGGGCAAAGGCAAAGGCCAGAACAGGCACAGGCGGGCTCGCACGCCAGAAGTCTGTAGAGTTCCTAAAAGCAGCCTTCTGTGCAGAAATACATCTGTCGCACGTGATCTGGCAAAATCGCAGTTACCGCCTGCCTCCCGACCCGGAAGCTTGCATTCCGGACGCCCGCCAACGCAAGGCTACAGAGAGGACTGAGAGCTCGGCTCATTTGAAGCGCGAGTCTTTTTTCCCTACCTGCCCAGCTTGAGGTGGTCTGTGATGAATGCAAACGATGCTTCACACCAACCCGTCAAGTCTTGTGAGGGTATGTGTTGCAGTTGGTGGGCCACCTCTCTTCGTGATCATGTACTGAAATTGCACTGCAAAGCACTGCTTGGACCAGAAATCGAGACAGCACCTGTGAGCTAGCAGGGTCTAGGCAGATGCACACTCTGCTGTGTGTAGTTGCTGAAGCCTGGTTGCAGCTAAAGGGTTTGCCTGGGTTCGTTTGAATGTAGGAGGTGATTACTTTTGCTCTTTTCGAACCCGGCGTGACTCATCGGCAGTCGCCAGGCGCAGCTGACTAGAAACATGGAAGACACATCGGCAAACCTAAGCACATCGAACCAGACCTTTATGGCAGCAGTATTTCTCATATCTTTCTTGATACAGGGGAGCAGTAGGACCTCTAGCTCTTCGTGTAAGCTGTTTATATCACTGTTATATCCTCACATCCTAAACGCGTTCCGAACCGCGCCATGGCCATGGCTTCTGACACACCGAACTGGACAGCGTTGACCTCGGGACCTGGCTTTCTGTGACTTCACCCATAGGCCCATAGGGCTCTCGGGACTTCCTCCGGTTCTTGCCAGACTGGCTTCGAGGTCCCACACCCCTGGCGACAGCTGCCAGAGATTCAGGCTGGTTTTCTGGCGTTTGCCGTGCCTGGAGGAATCGCAGAGGTTCTCAACGGTGCATGATTTCAGAAATTTCACCGCTCCAGCGGCATCTCTCTGCAGCTTCGGCTCGAGCTGTGGCTTCTGCAAGTTTACGCGACTAGCGACTAGTGACTGGCAAGTTGCTAGTGGATGTCACCAGTCTTTGCCATGTTAAGCTCGGTTAGGCTGTAAGCCGTATACGACAGGTACCGTCCTGGGCAGGTCTTCCGGCCTTCCTCTCTCTTCCCTTTGCCCTGGTCGGTGCCACCTAGCAGCCATGAACCGATTGCAACGCATTTCCCAGCAAGTCCTGGTGGCTGGTCTCAAATTTCATGCTGGTTTCCACTTCGGCATCGTTTTCTTGTGATGCCTTGTGGTTGTTGTGGCAGGCAACCGCTGGGTCCGGCCTCTCCCCAGAGAGCTGTGCTGCCGCTTCAGCACAAGCGACAGAAGAAGCGAAGCAGAGGCTTCCCCCAAAGTCTTCCTGCAAGGATCGTTTCGGCGGGCTGTTGACGAGGATGCTGCAGTGCTCCGTGCCAGGAAGAATAAGTTTGTGGACATTGTCAAGGCGTATATCATGGACGTGCACAGGCCTGTCTGGTAGTTCGGTATATGCCGTGGTTGTAGGTTTGTATCCACATCGGATGCACGCAGACTTGGCAGGCTTCGCACTACTGGCGAGATGCCATCCATGACATTGTGTCTTGGCACGACTTGGCATTCCAGGCTTTCTTGCTACCACAGCAGCCGCACACCACGAGCAAACCCATTGAGGCATGAAGTGCTCATGCAGCAGCCGCCCTATGCCAAACGCAGCTTGGCAAAGCTATTGGAGTCCGCAGCTGTAGTTGCCAGTGACTCTGGGATGGGAAGTATCTGGAGCTCCTTGCGCTGAGGCACGGGTTTGGGCAAGGACTTGGACAGAGCAGAGGTGTGATCCGCAAACCCACAGCTTGCCATGCGTTGCCATGCGTTGCCCCGCGTTCCCTCTCATGTCCCTGTTCTGGAAGGCGAAGGGCAGGCTGGCGCCGCTTTACCTTCTTCCCGGACCTTGGGCTGATGCCAACACCCGCGAGGAAACAGCGATCTGTGGAGAGTCCTGAGAATCCCTCAATTTGTGCGCGCAATTGTATCGGGCACATGCAGCTTGCAACCGTTTGCAAAATGCATGGAAGGAGAAATTGCGGCTTCTGGAACTGGATTGGATTGCAAACCAAGAAGGTATCCAGCTGCAGTCCCTTGTTCTATATGGTTATGCTTCTCTTCGGCTCGCAGCAGCAAGGCATGCTCCTTGGAGAATTTTGCTTCCTTTGCAGTCTGAGACTTAAGGCTCTATGCTGCCTACCAGGAGCGTGCCCCGACTGCACAGGAGACAGAAGGAGCTTGAGCATGGCAGCGGCACACAGACATGAGTTTGAGTTGGGGGTTCATTCAATGCGCGGTGCGCCCCTTCAGAAGCTCATGCTGTCTACCACGGCGAGATGCCGCGCAGCATGCGCTGCCATTGCTCGGACACGTCAGGATGGTCGGGTGCATGCAGGGTGCATGTTGTGTCCCCAGGCTATGGTGACAAGGGCCTCGGGAGCAACATTGCGGTGCCGACAGTTGTCATCCACAGCAGAGTCACGGAGAAGCTCAGTCCCGACAAGCAGATGACACCTTTGGACAGCGCAATGGCTTGGGCCTCGGCAGACTCGGTAGGCTGGAAGCCAGGACTGGCAATTGTGTGCACAAAGATGCACAAAGCCTCCCTCCCAAGGTGCAGAAGGTTACGGCACGCGTCATTGTGGCCAACCCTGAAGACGCTGAACGACTGGCCCGTATTCACGTGCGTAAGGAGCCAAACTTTGGAGGCACGGCACTCGGATCATGTAGAGCCTACTGAGTGGCCTAAACACAAAGAACTCAAACAGTGGGTTGTCGTCGTATTAGACATTCACACTTCTGCCAGTCCTGATGGACAGCGTCATCTCGACCACAGACAATGAGCATCTTGCCTTGAGTGCCACAGGGGCATGATGTTTTTCTCAGTTGTGGTCTCAATCGTCACACCAATGCAAGAATCATCAGCCTGAGCCCGTTAGAATGTGTTCATTGCTCGCCATCGTCTGCTAAAGGCATGGGTTCTGCAGACTCCGAGCTCCACATTTTGCAGCTTGTGCACACTTCCCGGCGCCCAGGCATTGGCGGGAGCAACGGCAGCACCTCCTTGAGGCCTTCCTACCTCTCTCGCAGCAGCCTCAATCACCTGCCGATGCACTGCGGGTTCACGGACACATCTCGCTTTCTAAGCTAAGTAATCCAACAGCTGAAGCTGCCTGCCCCATGAGGTCGCTTGCAGAGATATTGCCGGTCTCCCTGGCACGTGCAAAGGCCACCTCGATGTGCTATTCGTGCAGCCTGCAAAGCTTGCCGCACGGAAAGAGCGGGCAAGTGACGTGAAGGACTGTGCCAATCGATTGGGTAGCCTGGCCAAAGGCACGTCTCGTGTCTTTTGACAATGATCTTTCTCCTACCTCAAAGCAAAAACACTTTTGTTGAACAACCTGGCCAAAGATGGAAACCCGGTCGACATGAGCGACTTCCTGTTGCGACTTGTTTGCAGCCGGAGGGCTTGCCAAGGAGACTGATCCAGCATGTCGCCTTTCTTGGCTTTGGACGTTGAATGCTGACTGTTGGGCATCAGAGATGCAGGGCGGGCATACCGCCCTGCACGCCCTGTGTTAGACTGATGCTCTGTGTGGGTGCTGTGAGGGTGCTGCTGCTTGCAGCAGTTTGAGCTGGGCGCCCATGGGTTTAGTTGACCTCAGGCATGAGGCCCAGGCCCAGCTGCAATTGGCACTCCTTGGAGCCCCGGAGACTTTAATGGAGGAGACCAACAAAGGCAGCCCGCCAGCACTTGCACGGCAGACACGGCAGGTGTGGCTGTTGGGCTTGGGCCAGCCCAGGCATCCGGAAAACCTTTATGTTCCATCCAGAAGGCACTGTCGGCGATTTGAGCTACGCGATGAGCTTCAGCAGCATCAGCACTGCACAAAAAGCTTCGCTGCATGGGATACTCTGTTCAACATGAGCCAACTCAGGAAAGAGATCATGAAGGTGGCACAAGAGGATCAAACCTTAGGCCAGGATGCCCAGCATGCAATGGAAGCTGAACAAACTGGGAGCGTTGCAGGTCTTCCCTCGGACGGATGTCCAGTTCGAGGCATGCTGCATCGTGCAGAGACGGGTAGAACTGAGAGCTGACTCGAAACATGCCAATATTGGTGACAGGCCCTTTGTCAAGAGCCCTGCAAACGGGCAAGTTCGATGCAAGCACTGACTATGGGATACTCGGCACAGAGTCGTCACCGCCTCCAGGCGGTAATTTTTTTGTATTTATTCACGTCTTGACAGTCACTAAGGAACATGCTCTTGATCCTCTTTGCTGGCCACGACACAACAGGTCGGGAAGATTCGGGTAGTCAAGCATCACTCACTGTGCAGCTCCGAGTGAAGGCCACACCATGACCTGGTTGCTTTTTGAGCTCGCGCGCCATCCGGACATCCAGGGCAAGGTGCAGGCCTGTGGATTTAGAGTCCACTTCTCTTGTTCGTCTGATAGCTATCGGCCATGTTACTTGCGGTGGCTCCAATGACCCCGAGCAGGAGGAAGTTGACCATTTCTTTAAGTGCCTCAAGGGGCGCGACCCGACATATCAGGAGCGGGGATGTTGAGGTGTCTCTCCCAAGCCACGCGCTTGTCCATGGGTGTTCAGGACTTGAGCAAGTTCAACATCCTGGACCGATGCATTACTGAGTGATTCTCTCGGTGGCCTTTCGGTTTCCTCCTCCCTAGCTTCTCCAAACTAAGGACGCTTCGCTTGTGGCCTGCAGTGGCCAACGGGACTTTCCGGCAGCTGCAGCTGGGCACTTAGTCCCTTCCAGCAAGGAATCTGACTGAACTACAGAAGTTGTAGAATCAGCCCTGCCAGCTATCCATGTCGCACCTGGTGGGCACGATGCAAGCGAGCTGTTCATTCTTTGCGAGGTTTGCGGACGAGCTCAATGGCCAAGGTGGGAAGCAGGCACGTGGTTCGTAAATTGTTCCGTTACTCCTTCGAGTGAACACGTGATGCTTAGATTTTGCGTCCCTGATCTCAAGTTTGGTAGACCGCAAGCTGTCCTAGTCGGGAAGTGGCGCAAGTCCATGAACAGCTACCCAATTTTGCATAGATGTCGTCCTCGAGGTTGTCCTGGGACCTTGGGAGAATTTTCTGCTGCCTTCCTTAACTCGATTCATGCTGTTTCGGTTCTACCCTCCTTGGCTAAATGCCCATGGCAGGTCACTCTTCCTAAGGGCACTTTGGTGACCATCAGCAACTGGTGGCGTTCTCGGACGGGCCTGCGAAGCTTACAGTTTAGCAGCTGACTAGCATGTGCGGCTTCTCATCGATTCGTGTCCGAGGTGTCGACACCGCAACCCAGAGCTGTGGGGTGCAGATGCGGAGACTCCACATTGAACATCATGCTCTTACTTGCCAGCTTGACACCAGATGACCTCGCAGCTTTTCCCACGTTTAAAGCATCTCGGCCAGTGCTCAGGACACTTTCAACCCATGGCGAAGCTTTGCTTCGGAGGTGCGGGCTTTCACAGCGTGGGTATTTGTCTGGTGCTGTTCTGCTTGCGAGGGCCTTCTGCCTTCAAGCGCCAGGAGCTCGCCCGCGTGGGTTGCCCGATGGCCGCACGGACCCCTCAATCCGCCCGCTTCTCGCCTTTCGCGCACAATCCGCGCAGCTGCTTGGGGAAGAACTTTGCGCAGATGGCCTCTAGGCTGCAACACTTTGGGCTTACAAAATTCACAGCGGCTCAGAGCTGCTGAATGCTCGGGACGCATTTTGCTCCAGGTTGCCTGCAGATGCAGCATTGCTTTTTCTCCCCACATTTGGAGCTCGTTTGGGACATGCTCGCGTACTTACACCTTCCAGCCTAGTCAAGGCCATAAGAAGCCGAGTCTGTCTCCCCCGCAAAAAGTTGCCCGAGCGCTGGAAAGCATCTGCCTCGCACCTACACACCATTCGATGAGTCTGTCCTCTTTGGCTCGATGTGTCGCTTCGGGTCGCTCCATGCTGGATGTCCAGCTCAGGAGATGAGGCTGATTTTGTCACACTTGCTCCACAAGTTCAGCTTTTCCTTGGCTCCCCCATATGACAGTCTGATGGACACAACCATCAAGGCCTCGGCTGCGTGTCCGTGGCTTCCGTTCTTCCGTTCACTGCACGTGACAGAAATGGAGAGAGAGAGCGAGAGGCTTCGGACACCAACCCCAAGAACTTTCGTGGCATCAACTCGGGTGGCACGATGGGCCCCATGGACCTCGAGCGTGGAGGCAGTGGCAGCGAACATCAGTAGGGATATCTATGTAAACACACATGATCACACATGTGTCGGGACCTGTGCTGAGAGGCGCTGTTTCGGAGCAGGAGCGCTTTCTGGTAGCGATGAAGCTGCGCGTCACTCCCAGGAGTTGATTCAACCAACGGGGGTCGCTTCCTGCCTTTTGTCGGGGCACGAAGCCCGAGGCAACCCCGGGGGCACTTGGGTAAAGAGTGCCTCCTGGAGGCCTCTTCCTTGCAAGTCCACGAAGTAGCTTGCCGGGTGCCCAACATGCTTTGATTGTACAGGGAGAGCCGGCACACCGAATTCACTTGTCCCGTTTTATCTGACTGTCCTACAGACGCAGCTTCCGGGACCGGTGATCTTGGGTCAAAAGAATGTGTCAAAAAATGTGTCACGTGCTTTTTTAATTGCAAAAGCAGCAGACAAGAGGTGGAAGGTGCTTAAAAGGAAGCTGTCACCCAGCCGGGCACAGGGGCCCACGGGCAAAAACGGGGCCCACGGGGCCCCCGGAGCCAGGCTTGGGATGAGCACAGAGTCGCTTTGAAGGTCCGCCTTTTAAGTGCTGGGCCGTCTCACAGCTCACCCCACATCATCCCACAGCTCGGATCATGTTTGATCCAGTTTGGGTTCCCCTACGAAGGAGCCCGAAGGGACTGCCTACAGGAAGTGCTCGCTTGGAGCTGCCTTGTCATGTTCGCTTCTGCAAAATGCCGCTTTTCGATTTGGGGGTGCAGTGTCTGGGTTCAACCGTATTGAAATATGAGCGCCGCAACTGTTGGGGCAAAATGGCTGACGCAGGTTGCGCCCACAAGCGCTCAATGGCATGCTCGCTGTCGCAGGGTGCCAGATGACCAGGCTGGTGCATCTGGTGATTGCCCAAAGTTGCAAGCCGAGAGTCCTAGGATTTCAGGGTATATCAATGACAGGGCTGCGGCTTCGATTCGGCTTCGATTCGGCCACAATTGTAGCTGCTGCACATGTTCTGGCAGGACACGCTGTACGAGAGCCGCGAGGGGGAGTTTGTCAGCAACCGTGGAGATCAAACGGGTCTCTACGGTTCCCAGGTCGGGGTCTCGAGTCTCGAGATTCATACTACTCAGACTACTCAGCACGCAGCAGTTTGCCAGATTCTGTGATCAGCCTTGTAATGTTGATTTTCCCTGCAGACCAGGGCTCAAAAAAGACAGGAGTTTCCTTACAGTTTCAGCCTTCCTGAGCTTTTTGCCTCTCCAAATTTTGACATCATGTCGGCCACAGGCCGGCCTGGGCAAGTTTCCGAAGGTTGAAGCTTTCAAGAGGCTCGGGGAGGCTTGATCCTGCCAGGAACCGTGATGAAGGTGTCTGGCCCTTTGGTGGTCGCCGAAAACATGTCCGGCACCAAGATGTACGAGGCAGGTATTGCACCGAATCGCACGAAAACCGTCAGAAGCACAAATGCTAAAACCCTCAACCCTAATGGTCCTAAAAACCTGGCGCCCAATCTGCGGTTACAAGGGGGCTTGCGACATGATGTCCATTGCAGGTGGTCCGAGTGGGCAAGGACCGCCTGGTGGGTGAGATCATCCGTCTCGAGGGTGACACCGCGAGTATCCAGGTGTACGAGGCCTGGAAAGTGCGGAAGTCCTGGTCGTTTAAAGGCGTTTCGGGGAGGCACTGGGCACACCATGTGGCAGGATACCTCCGGCCTGACAGTTGGTGATCCACTGGTGAAGACGGGACTGCCACTTTCATTGGAACTGGGCCCTGGAATCCTTGATGGAATCTACGCTGCCTGTCAAAAAACGGATGGCCGCCCACATTTTATCTTCCAGATTTTGATGGTCTGCATTTTGTCTATGTATGTGTGCGCGTGTGTGCAAGGATGGTATCCAGCGACCACTGGAGCGAATTCAGCAAATGGCGCAAAGCGTCTTCGTCCCGCGAGGGGTCGACGTGCCAAACCTGGATCGCGAGAAGCAGTGGGAGTACACGCCAGAGAACAATGTCAAGGCAGGGTGCTTAGCCAGCTCGGCCAGGTATTATCTGAACCCACCTTGGGGTGTGTTGTTTTGGCAGAAAGTGTGCAAAATGTCCAAGTTCACAGCAGCGCTCACAGAGGTGGGCGACCTCGTCACCGGAGGTGATGTTGTTGGCGTTGTTCGCGAGAATGGGTGTCATGGCCGGCAAGCATCGTTCTGATGTGGCGGAGGGGCTTTCGAACACGGGCGGTCACACACGTGCAGTCGATCTCTGCCGCTGCAGGGAAGTTTCGGATGGTGAAGTTGTGGGACGGGTGGAAAGACTATCATCGCTTAAGTCACTAGCTCTGAACTCTTAGGCTCTTCAAGAGACACCTCATCATGATTCCGCCTGGCGTCAAGGGACGTGCCGTGGCACAATTTGGCAGACTTAAGTTCCCTATCGGTTTTATCCTGTCTCTCTGCTCAGGTGTTACGAAGGTGATGCCGGCTGGCAAGTACACTGTCGAAACTGCGGTAGTAGAAGTAGAGGAGGGTGGGAAACAGATGAAGGTCGAGCTGTTCCAGCGACTTGGACATGAATGGTGGCGTACTTCTGCAGGTGTTTTTGCACTTGGCAGGAAATGCAGCATCTCAGCCCCGATTCAAGGAGATGGCCAGTGCGAGAGGCACGACCTGTTGTGGAGCGACTTTGCGGCAAGAATGCTCCGAGCCCCTCATCGCTCTTCAGCATGCGCTGGCAGTAGCGGCCAGCATGCACGGGCAATGCCCTAGTGTCAAGTTCGTGGAGCGCCGAAGTAGGGAGCGGATTGTGTTGGTGCCGCTGGCATTCTCTCCGACGTGCGTTCTTCTCAGGCCATAAGCATGTTTGTCACCTCACTATAGTTCGCCTTCTTTCGGAATGAATCGCTCACTCCTTCTCTCTGGGCTTTCCACCAGATATGCAAAACCATGCTTGTAACAAACGGTTGGCAGTTGGCAGTCCGTATCTTTGTAGCTGCCGCTGCTGTGCACACTCTGTTCAACCCAGTTCATCCCTACGCTAGTGAGCGCCCCATCATGCGTGTGGTCCTGAACTTCAGGAAGCTCCAGGGTAAGGAAGCCCTGCTTACTTGCGAGCGAGTGGCTTGGACGGAACAGCTGCCACATGTCACGCTTGCTTAGAGTTCGATGGCGAGATGCACGCGCTTTGCAGGCAAGCGTCAAGCTTCTAGGAAAGGCGACAGAAATCTCATCTGATTCAACGTCGACCGAGGTCATTGATGCCCTTTTCCCCGTTACCCTGGGCGGTACGGCCGCAGTGCCGGGAGCCTTCGGGTGCGGGAAGACAGTCATCTCACAGGCGACACGGATCGACCCATCCATCCTACTTGGTGTAAGCTGACGATCGTATTCATCGAAGTAATGATAGTAGTGGAGCTGGATGGAAAAAGTCCCTTGCAGAAGGAGGTGTTTTGATGTGTTTTGGGCGTGTTTGGGGTCTTGGGGTGGGCTTCCTTCCGGGTATGCCTCGGCATGGCCGAACCCACAGAATATTTCATAGTCATTCTATGGGTTCGGCCATGCCCGAGGCATGTTCTATCTAGTTGTTTCTTCGAAGTTTCCCAACTCTGTCTACTCAAGGATGCCTGTAGCGATAACAAGCTTCAACACCACCTGCCTCTCGATCGCACTCTAGAGAGGCATTGTCGAAGTACTCCAATGCAGACTGCGTGGTGTACGTGGCCTGGCAGCAGTGGCGTGAACATTCCTGCCGATGCCTTGCGCGCTAGCCCTCCAAAGCCGACCCCAAGCCGACCCAAGCCGGGCCTCAAGGTCGGATGTGGTGAGCGCGGCAATGAGATGGCAGAAGTGCTCACGGATTTCCCGGAGCTGACGACCATGATTGATGGCAAGGCACCTCGGGGATGTGAAGACTGTGTCGATTCAGTACATCCAAGTCTGGTTTGACAACCAGTAGTCAGGGTTCCACACATTCCAGAGATGCGGGAATCTGCAGGAAGAGCCAATCATGCAGCGAACCACTCTGGTGGCGAACACCTCGAACATGCCAGTGGCTGCGCGAGAAGCATCCATTTACACAGGCAGCAGTGCTGCTCAGTGTAGTTTGTTTATGTTGTTTTTGACCGCAGGGTGTCAGGGTCTGACTTTGTGATGGCACTGTCCGGGCATGGTAAGTTCTTCAGACAAGCGTCTTTCTTGTTTTCTTGACAACGGCTTGTTGCAGGTGTGACCACGGCGGAATACTTCCGAGATATGGGCTACAACGTGCCTTTGCTCGATTTCTGCGCAGCGCACTGTACCTGGCAGCTAAACACGTGGCTGTCGAGGTTGCTATGATGGCTGACAGCACTAGCCGATGGGCCGAAGCTCTTCGAGAAATTTCTGGACGACTGGCAGAGATGCCGGCAGATGCTGGCTACCCTGCTTATCTAGGAGAATCGGCAGAGGGGGGGCTGGCACGCTGGTACCGATTGGTAACGATGGATAGACACCAATGGAAGTGATAACTTGGTCTGTGTGTGCGTCTGCAGGAGCACGCCTGGCCTCCTTCTACGAGCGAAGTGGCCGCGTCCAGTGCCTCGGCAACCCGCCGCGCGAGGCAGCCAATCAGTGCTCAGCATTGCTTTCACTCTCACTTTTTATCACTCTTTTCGTGCATCTCTGGACGGTTGCACGCAGTCATATTCGGTGATCACAACGTCCACCTGCAGGGTTCCATTACCATCGTCGGTGCCGTGTCCCCTCCAGGCACGAAAGCATGCCGGCGGGATAAGGAGAAGCAGTGAGGACTCGTAGGGTTTTTTTCACGAGTCCGCAGGTGGCGACTTCACGGACCCTGTGACGTCAGCCACACTGAGTATCGTGCAGGTGTTCTGGGGCCTTGACAAGCAGCCCGGTCTAGAATCAGAGTGCCAGCAGATGCCCACGCGGAAGTAGCCGAAATAGACGTGAGACTCAGAGAGTCTTGGCCCAAACAACTCATCGCCCATGTCTGAGGAAGCTGGCTCAGCGAAAACATTTCCCAGCAGTGAACTGGAACATCTCTTTCTCCAAGTATATCCGCAGCTTGCATGCAAAGTGGCACACGGACCACTTCTTTGTGCTGCCTTGTGTGATGGTTGCAGCTCGTTCAATCCAGGTGTCTTGGAGCCGTATTTCGAGAAATACGACACGGAGTACAGTCCCTCGGCTCTCCGATCTGGCCACATCTTTGTTGCATTTCAAGTCCTGACTTGGCCAAGGCAGTCAGGGTTGACGGGTTGTGCGAGTGTGCGTGCCAAGAGGCATGCTCCAGCAGAAGATGAAGGAAATCTTGCAGAAGGAGGACGATCTGCAGGAAATCGTGCAGTGCCCTGGCAGCACCAGACCCGTTAGAAACAAACCCCGTGCCTTCTCTAAGAGCATCCTTCTGCCCACCAGGCTGGTTGGAAAGGACTCTCTCTCCGAAGATCAGAAGTGCACTCTCGAAGTTGCAAAGATCATCCGCGAGGCACCAATCTTAAGCCAACGCTGGCTTCCCGTTGCAAGGCTTGTGCATCACAAGTTACACAGGACTTCCTGCAGCAGAACGGCTTCACCGACTACGACTTCATGAGCCCGCTGGCCAAGACCATTGGCATGATGAAGGTCATTGATGCTCGGACTCACAAAAGTTTGAGATGCCACAGTTCAGCGGGTGTCCACTTCCGCTTGCCCAATGCATCGTAGTTACATGTAGCGATCCCTAGCGGCTCCAGCGTCGCGCGAGTACATCGTGAGCACCTCGAGGTTGGCTTCCACGAAGCTGCCCAGAAAATGATGGCGGAGTATTCCGGTGAGCACAAGGTGGGTTGGAACACCATCGCGGTGGCCATGAAGGCCAGGCTTTCGGCCCAGGGTCAGGAGCGGAAGCCTAAGCCACGCCAAGACCCTGCCTCTTCCAGGACATGATCAAAAAGATCACAGACATGAAGTTCGAGATGCCCCGCCAGTCTGAGGCCGCGATGCGGCTTTGGTTGAAAGGCGTTGTCTCTTTTTGGGGGGGTTTTCCATGCCTCCATGCCCGAGTGGGCAGCAGTCGAGTCAGAAGCAGGAAACGTCAGCCCAGACGGAAGACCGATCACAAGAAGAGTGCTATGTGTCAGAGTGTGATGCGTTCCTCCGTACCTGCCTCGACAGCTTGCGCCGAACGTCACCACGACCTGCATGTCAGTGTTGTCCAAGAAACGTCGTTCCGTGAGAGAGTGGACAGGAGCACTTCAAGCGCACCTTCGTGAGCTTGCACGACGAGGTGCTGGCTGCCTTCCGGACATTGGCCGAGGACAAGTGAGGCGCGAAGATCCGCTGCAGTGCAATGACATGAAAATACGTGAAGCACAGAACTCTAATCGTGTGTGTCAAGCCTTGTCCAGCCTGGGAGGCTATGGGTGAGAGCGGTCGCGGCCAGGCAAGGGCTCATCCGCTTGAAGCCTAAATGGCTTCACGAGGTAACAGGATGGAAACAGTCATATGGATTCGTCGTCATGGTACGGCCCATTTAAGGGTACCCACTCTGTAGTAAACTGGTAGGTCCTGCGGTTAGAATACCACGGTGATGTGTAAGCTACTAGTTGCCTTGGTCAAGGTTGGACGAGAAAGTGCCGGCCAGTTTTTGCTTTGCCTCCACAGGCTCTTAGACATAGACCTGTGAGATTGATTCTGGAGTCGATTCTGTGAGCAGCACATTGAGGGTGCCAGAATCGCAGCGTTTCAAAAATGCATTGGAAGCAACATGATGACAACTCTATCTTGCTGTTTAGACTTCGCCCCTTCAATGGTGATGCCTGTCCACCAGAGATGGGTGCTGAACTAGTCAGCTAGTCTGGTGCGCCTGTCGACAGTCGGCGTGACTTGAGGGTGGCAGATGGAGCGCCTATTGAACCAACTGTTTTGTCTTAAATCAAAGTTCGTTTGAGACCAGTGCCACATGTGAGTGTCCAGATGCCATGAGAGCCCCTGCACAGCAGCTCCATGCACCTGTTGCCACAAACATGCTCTCACAATGCTGGAAAGGTTCTGCCTACCAGGCAGTGCTTCGTGCCAGCCTCAAGGTTTTTCTGCTCCGACCCATCTGTCGGAAGCAGTTCATGGCGAGTTTTTCAGGGGCATGAAGTGGGCTTCATTCTGTCATTCAAGCTCGGACATGCCAACGGCCAATATATGCTTGCAAACAGAAGAGTAAGATTTTAAGATTTTGATGCGCGGCGGCAAATTAGCACTTTGCAGGCCTTTGCGCCAGTGTGTGGCCCCGCGCAGTCAGCTCCAGAGGGCTTCCGCCTGGCGCAGCAGGTCCGCTTCAAAAGAGAGCATCCCGTGTCGAGTGAACTGCAGAAGGGCCGCTTGGCTCATGCGCCAAAGGTATCGCACACGATAGTCCTGCGCCTCGACGCTGAGCAGGACCGAAGTGCGGCATTTGCCATTTGTTGCGGTTTCGAAGTTCTGCCAACAGCCTGAAGACTGCAACGACCTAGTCCTAGTCACCTAGTCCAGCCGAGAAGCAATGACGTCGGCCAATCATGCAATGCTCGGACTCAAGATCCACTTGTCAGTATGGCAGGCATTCTTCTCGCTTCGACTTGGACACGCAGGATGCTGCAGAGATACACAGCGAAAGAGGGAGAGAGAGAGAGAGGCGACCCTCTTAAGCAGGGAGAAAGAAAGAAAGAGCAGGACATGGGACTTCCCGCGCCTTTCGGGTCAGCTCCCCCCTTGGGGGCAGCTCCCCCCGGGGGGCGCTAAGCGTGTGGAGAGAGAAAAAAAGGAACAAAGAAAGAAAGATGAAAAGAAAGAAAGAACAAGGAAAAAAAGAAAGAACGAAAGAAAAAACGAAACAAAGAAAGAAACAAAGAAAGACACAAAGAAAGAACCAAAGAAATAAAGACAGAGGTTGTGTGTCCCCACGGCCCGAGGACTGCATGAGGGGATCTTCCCCTCCAAGCCGAAGTAAGAACGAAGAAAGGAAGAATAAGGAAATAAGGAAGGACAAAGAAACTTGCATGCGTGCAGAAAGAGACAGAGACAGAGAAAGAGAACCATCTTCCCCGAAGTCCCACAACATACAGGAAGCAAGCACGAAGGAGAGACCGCTTGGCCGCCGTGCTGGGTCCTTTCCCTTGCGGAGGTGGGCGAGCCTGCTGACAAAAATGAAGAGGGCAACTTGCGCCAGGGGGGAAACCCCCTGAAGCCCCTCCAACGAAAGAAAGAAAAGAGAGAGATGAGAGGAATGAGAACACTCCCACATTCACATCCGCGCTGCGCTGCATTTCCATGTCATGTTCTATGTTTGACGTATCGTGAGGAGCTTTCTTGCGGCAATACTGGCACTTTCAATGCTGGATGTTGCTTCATCACCTCCTCTCCATGTTAATGCTACTCAGCTGAGCTGAGCAGACGCCATAAGATCTTCCATGTTCTGCCAAAGTCGAAGCCGAACAGATTATTCAAGTTGTCACAGTTGGCATCTCTGCTAGCACCGCATCTTTGTTGCGGCCCGTGTTGTTGGACTAGAGGCAGGAATGCAATGTGCAATATGTGGACATGAAGTGGGTAGCCAATGGACCAAGGTCTGTGCTGACAACGCTGTGGACCCTCGCCTGGCGTCGTGGTTCAGTCGCTCCAGCTATCGCACGGCCTGAGCGGACAGGCCTGGTGAAACTCCTGCGGGTACCGCGCTTTGCTGACCTTCTCTTGAACCACTTGAGATGCACCTGCAGGAAGCATCCCAAGCCTTCGGCCAGCTCTGACTTGGCATCCAGATGCCGCCTGCTTGGCCTCAATTTCGCCCGCGGGGCACGTCGCGGTTCACAGCGGGGTCCTCAGGTCTCTGCCAACGTTTGTCAGTGTTATCTAGGACATCATGCCTTGCGGAAGCAATTGCCATTTCTGCTGATTAGCTGCTAGTATGCTTGAAAGGTCTCGCCACATGATTTACTCGTAGGGTTTTTTGCATGATGAGGCCTGGTCGGCGAATCCACAGAGCATCTTCATGTGCAAGGAGCTGCTCGGACAAAGAGGGCGCAAGGAGCAGGGAGAACTTGCTGAAGTCTTGAGGGTCCTTGTGTAAAAGGCGCATTTTCTTCACTCACCTTGGTTCTCCTGCAGCCAGTGCTGAGGATGGTGTGTGGCCAGTCGCCGCTGCCGCTTGGCAACCCTGCGACCTGACCAGCCTGGCTGTGTCTCGGCACATGCCAAAGATCTCGAAGTGTTTGTCTGAGGGATTCTGATGCTTTTCGGGTCAGGAGCCCGGTCTCAGCTGACATGCGCTGCCCGCGAGGTGGCTGGACCTTTGGGTCTCTGCTTCTGGCGCCGCAAAGGCAGCTGGCAGCGAATATGGTCGCTGCAGGGAGAGGCTGCTTGAAATGCGGGATGGAAATGGCGCGATCTGCCGAAAAAAGCAAAGCAACCGGAGGCCTTTGCCTCCTCGGCCCTGGATTGGTCTCCGGACGGCCGAGCACTGGCAGCCACTGGCCCGCTGGGTGTTGTCAGAGGCCCAGGTGGATACCAGCAAAGAGCCAAAGAGCACCGAGATCGTGAGTTTGGTGGAGAATGCTGGTGCGACCTATTGCCACCAGAAAAGAACTGAACCTTGCGTTCTAGAAGTCTGTGTGCTGTTGCAGCTTGAGCCTGTAGAGTCTGTAGAGTTGTTGAGGTTCATATACTTGGACCACACAGCGCACTTGTCGGTGAGCAGGCCTGGATGCCTCCTCGGACAGGTGACAGAAGTACTTCTAGGGGGTCAGGGCTGTCAGGGTTTGTTGAGGGCCGTGAGAAGAACGACAGGCGCAGCTGAGGGCTCATTTCTCTTGGCACGGTGTGATGGTGATCTTCCTGCTTTTCTGTATTCAGGAGCAGGGCGTGCAGGGACTCTTGGAAGGGCCTCTGGGGCATCCCATGAAAATCTCCTTAGGCCGAGGCGAATGAAGCCAAAGATGGATAGTGTGCTCTAGCTTCGCAACAGCTTTGCTGGCTTTGCTGTTGCAAGATTGGTCTGCGAAGGTGCTTCCGGGTCAGTTCATGCGCCTGCAACGATGGTGCAGTGGAGGCAACCTGAGGAGGGCTGCCTGTGGTAGGACACAGGACATAGGACATGCTCGCGATATCCCGTGTGTTTACAACAAAAGCAAAGAAACGGGACGCACACACGGACACCCACTGAGTCACTGCTTCGAGTCTTGAATTCGGTCCTCAGGCCTGGCGAGGTGCCTTGCATGGTCTCCAGACGCCTCGCTGTTGGCAGCCTGGCCCCTGGAATTCTTCAGTCGCGCCTTGCGTATCTTTGCATTGCGCCACAGGGAAAACTATGGAAAGCTGTGGAAAGCTCATGCCCAGGTGCTACACTGCCAAGGAGACAGGGAGCCCTGCGTCCGGCTTTGGAGCACTCGAACTTGGGAGGCACCAACCTCAGCCCAACCTCAGCTCCAGCTGGAAACAAATCTATTTCGCAGCCTCTTGCACACGCCGATATCGCTGAAGTCCGAGGTCGCAGCTGTGATTGGCCTGGGCGCGCCGCTTGCAGGCCCTGAACTAGGCAGGGCTTTCTGCACAGGACCAAAGAACTCTCTGCTCAATCGGAGAAGCCCCTCACGAATGCAAAGCGTGCGGGAGGCGGCGAGGGCGCAGGGCGTTGAATGTAAGGGCAAGCGCATAGCCGTCGGAAGACCACGGGCAAGAGTGACTGGCCAGGGTGATTCAGTGAGTGCAATGAGTGCGAGTTTATCCAGGAAAGCTGCGGGGTAGACTTTCAATTGACTTCCCTGATGGTCATCTGAGCACTTTTTGGCGATAACTTACAACAAACTGTAACGCGTAAGACAAGATCCGATCGGCAGGTATGTCGCTCGACTGGATGAGCTCCGAGCTCCTTCTGGCCACCGGATCGGCATTCCTCGTTGAAGTCGCAGTTCGAGGTCGCTGCTTGTGAACAGCTGAGCCGGAAGTGGTAGCTCAAGGCAGTTCAGGGGTGAACGAGTCCAGGGTTTTCACAGGGTTAAAATAGTTTCAACAGGTTCAAAGGCTTTCAGTGCGGTTGCAAGTTCTCTCTCCCTCTCTCCTTCCCTCCCTCGCTCTCGCTCTCGCTCTGGCTCTGGCTCTGGCTCTGGCTCTGGCTCTCGCTCTCGCTCTCGCTCTCGCTCTCGCTCTCGCTCTCTCTCTCTCTCTCTCTCTCTCTCTCTGTCCCTTTTGCCTCTCTCCTCTCCTCGTGGCGGAGGCGGGGCTGCGGCCAGCATCGGTGCAGCGCGGCTTGGCGAGGCCGGAGATCGAACAGGCTGAGAGACGCGAACAGTTGAGAGATGCTGAGAGCAGAGTCTATATCAGGATGGTGTGGTACGAAATCATACTTGCATGATTTGGTCCTCTTCATGAATTCTCTATCGAAACCGAGGGCCAGGATGGGGTCTAGACTCGACAGTTTGACTCAGCTGTTGACACTTTCTGCACAAAGCGCAGGACACCAGCGTCTTTGCAGCCGGCGTCGAGCCAGGGGTCCGCGTTGTATCACTTCCCGGGCAGGCGACGAATTGTGGATTTCACATGGCTTGAAGGGAAGGCATGATGAGAGCCACACAGCAAGGTCAGGGCCAACCCCAGAAAGGCTAGCGTCAGCTTTTTTGTTGCTAAATTCATTTGTGCTGTGGTGGGCTGGAGCTTGGTTCTATACTACTTGGCTTATAATGAAAGCAGTTTTCGGACGTTGTGGGTTTGGGGTTTCCGCCGTGTATTCGTTTTTCTTTGGAGCCCTGCCAAGTTTTCGCATGTTTTCAAGTCTGTTAACGTCGCGTTCTTCCGAAGCAACTATAGCGCACGGAGAGGCAGAGTCGCATCAGGCGGAAGGCATCGTGAACAAACATGGCAGGTAAACCGTGCCTAGCTTGCCCGAAACTCACTTGCAGAAGCGACACATACTTTAGCTAGCCTATGGGTTGTTAGGCTTCTCGTCAACCTGGCCCGGGAGTGCCGTGGCGAGTATCCCTGGAGTGCCCAGAGAAACCCGCAGAGAGTAGAGCTTCTCTGGGTGTCGGCGCTCCAGGAATTCTCTTGAGAAAACCAGACACGCAGTGATACGCAGTGCCTCCGAGCATCCCCCGAGTGCCCACATCTTTGAGAAGCCCGCAGAGAGTGCCCGAGTATACTCCTGGAGTGTTCCACTGCCCCACGACAAAAAGCCTGCAGCGAAAACGGCAGGAGGGCTGGGATGATCGAAGCAAACATTTTTTTGGGCTACAGTTCGTATAAGAGTTTTGGAAGGTGTTCAGGTAAGCTCTAGACCCCCCTCCAGGAAGCACGGAGAGTGCTTCAAGTGAGCGTCTGCCCGCGCTCGGCGCAACGCCTGGCCGTGCGCCTGGAAGGTTGCAGGGAGGTGCCAAATGTGCAATTTTCCTTCATTTCAGGACAGGCCCGCTTGGTTCGGAGGGATCTTGCGTACGCAGCTTTCCCTTGTTTTAGTTGGCATCGTCAGCGCCATTATGCATGAGGACATGCGGATAAGTAGATAAGTAGGGCATGAGTTGAAGGGCAGGGCCGGGGTTTTGCCGCTAGCTTATCTGCGAGGTGTCCAACTGTCAAGCTGCCAAGAGCTGACATAGCAAGGTATGATAGATGTTTGTTGCTTGGTGCTCGTGGTGACAGGTGCTGGTTTATGAGCATCCAACCTGTGGTCTGGCCGGCTGGTCGCATCGAGAGCGTCTCGGCTGAGCAGTCTAACTAGAGGACTAGCGAGAGACAAGCGTGACGAGAGTGGGCACGGGTTTGGGGCAGCGTCGCAGAAGGGCTTTCTCCACACCGTTCGTCTTAGCCCTGGCCACTATTATGTGTTGAAGGAAACATCAAGGTGGGGCCGGATTGGCGGCTCGCTCGCGAAGTATACAGGAATCACGTTGAATCGGGGGAGCTCGAGTCACAAGCTGTCGGTGTAGTCGTGATGAAAATGGAATTTCGCGCTAGTCTCGCCCTAGCCACACGTTCGGGCCCGCTTGACAACTTTCTCTCTCTTTTGTCATGAGATTGACCCCCAGTCCTCCTACGAATGAGCTCCTCAGCAAAGGAAAGTTCTAGCCCCGTTCTCTCCACAGGGTTTTGAGTTTGTAATCGTACTGGAAGAAGTCTGCGCTAGCGTTTGCTTGTGAGGATTCGTCGGATTTCATGTTTATCCTGTAAAGCACATAGGCTTTGTGACATAGCTATTCGATCTTCCCAGAAGCCGTTGCCCCTTTGTAAGTAAGATGGCTACATTCAGGCAACGACACGTAGACGACAGCCTCTTTGCAGGCTTAGCCCTTGCGGCGTGCTGGCAGCGGAGGGTGCGGCACCTGCTGCGCTTGCCTTCGCAGCGCATGCAGCACAGAGAAGTGGAGCAGAAGGTGCGCGCGCTGCATATTGGGTACTGCTTTCGTCACATTCAGGATCTTGACAGCCTGGCGAAGATAGTGGGGCACAGCACAAGTAAGTGCCCGCAGTGCCTTGTGTCAAAGCAGGCTCTCTGCTTGCTGTGTACTGGCAGCTGGACAACGGCCGACACGAGGTCGGCTGGGAATTTGCCAACTTGGTGCTGAGATGGTGTCCTGAGCCTGCCAAGCTACGCAGGTGCGAACCTACCCTATGCACTTCATCCCGGCGCAGGTCTTGCAGAACAGTGCGGCTTGCGTCTAAGAGTCTAAGAGCAAAGAGCCATGACATGAGCCTGGTTACGAGTCAGCAAACAACCTGAGATGCAGATGCATCGGCACCGAGGCCACGAACATGCTCTTCTGATGACGCGGCCAAAGGGCCGCGGGCTCCTAAGAAAGAGTCTTTGGGTGGGATGATCTGCATCATTGGCCCCTTGTGGGCGCCTTAGACTTTCCACTTTCTAAATCAGCTACGGTATGCTACAAGAACCTTAACCCCTAACAACCATGGCCTCAGAAAGCGGTGCTATGTGCTGCAGGAACTGCCTATGGGGTCTTGGGGCTTCGAGGGGTCTCGCCGACCGTACTCGATTCGACTATACCTTCGCTGAGCGAAAAGGCGGCCGTTGGAGCCCAACCCTTTGCCCCACTTCGAACATCCCTAAACCCTTAGGCCCGAAAATTCTGAAAACCTAAAGGCATCCCTAGTGAAAACCATGAAGTGCACGCAGTTCCTGGAGATGAAGCATGCTGTCCCTTTCATTGTGCTGCAAATTCTTTTGGTGGCAGATGGAGCCAGTGGACTTGCCCTTGTCAATGCTTCTCCTAGGTCGTGGACTGCAGCTTCAGACTCGAAGTTTCGTGTTTTCAAGTTGCTACAAGTAGGTCTTGGGGGGTGAGGCTGTATGGGGAATGTTGAGGTATGTTGAGATTCTCCCAGCTTTCTTCTTCCCACGTCTTGGGGATTCGCAGGAACACGAGAAGGGGACTGCTCTGTATGGTTGCTGCTGCTTTTGATTTTCTTGGCAAGAGCACTGGATTTGTACAAGCTTGGCTACTGGTTCAGACTCAGACAGCAAGCTATGTCTTACATGTGCTGCTCCAACTACCTGCTCCCAAGCAAGTGGGCTCATGCTCTCGTTGCATTTCACTCAGGCAGATGATGTCAGATGCAATGAGGCGAGCGTTTGGTTATGGTCGCGATGCTATGGCGCAGGTGTTGGCATAAGCAGACGGGCGTCACAGACATGCAGACAGCATGAACGTCACGCGAACGTTTTCATAGCCATGGCAGCGGCGGGCTCTGTGCAAGATGAGGATGTTTCGTTGCACAGCCTTGCGACATTAAACCTGTCGGGACTTTCGTCTGCTTACGAAGGAGAGAACTTTTGCAACTGTCTTCCCTGACTCCTCGAAGCTTGACGTTCTCAGCTGAGCATCGTTTGAAGGTCTAAGGTCATCTAAGGTCTATGGTCATAGTGTGTGTAGAATCAGTGTAGAAGCGAGGGACTTGCGCGAAAGGCCTATGGCATGGCCCTAGAAGATATCGCGGTCTTTGAAGAGGCTGGCTTCCAGCGAGAGCCTGCCTTAGGATGGACGCACGACAGCGAGGCATGATTCAGACGTGCCCAGAACTGTCAGAACTGTCGTGACGTGCTCTCTGAGGATCAAGTTGGCATGCTGGCCACTTATGGCTTCGTGGATTTTGCGGGAGTGCGCACTTTGCTTCGAGGCCATGTCTTAGCCCCCATGTGTGTTACGAGAGAAGCAACATTCGGAAAACAGGGGCAACAGTCAGCAAAACAGGCGTCGAAAACAGGGACGCAACAGTCGCAAACGACCACGGCCAGAGTCAACAACACCCAGGCAACAATTCAAAAACACCAGCGCAACAGTCAGCAAACCCAGAGCAGACCAGAACCGCTGGTAACGCATCAGAAAGCACGAAACAGCTCAGAGTCGCAAACACGAAAGCCGCAAGTCAACAAACATGGCTTGTTCTTTCAGTCAGTCAATCTCATTACTCTGCATAGCTGAGTGAAGTCTACACTCATAAGAATCCAGCCTTTTCTCTAGGAAAAGCCCTACTTTCCTTACATTTGGACGGATTTTCTGTCATTTTCCTTAGGTTTTCCTTGGTTTTTCCTCGGGAAAACCCTATGTTCCTTACATTTTGGACAGATATCCTGTCATTTCCTTGAGGTTTTCGTTGGTTTTTTCTAAGGAAACCCTATTCTGCTTACATTTTGGACGGATTTCGTCAAACGTAAAAGCCACCCTGCTCACATGATGGGTGCCAACAAGTTTCTTGGGCTTTGAAGCGCGCTCTGCACCGCGCCCCCCCCCCCCCCCCCATTTGCAAAAAGCACAATGCTCACACGATGTTTTTCAACTAGTTTCTTGGGCTTTGAAGCACGCTTGGTACGGCTTAAAAGAAGCGGGGGGGGGGTTGGGGGGGTTGGTGGGGGGGGGGTTCGGGGGGGGTTGGGGGGGGGGTTGGGGGGGGGGCGCAGCCCCCCCCACTTGCAAACACCCTGCTCACATGATGGGTGTCAACAAGTTTCTTGGGCTTCGAAGCACGCTCTGCACGGCTTCAAAAAAAAGCGGGGGGGCTGGGGGGGGGCGCAGCCCCCCCTTACTTGCAAACACCCTGCTCACATGATGGGTATCAACTAGTTTCTTGAGCTTTGAAGCATGCTCTGCACGGCGTTTAAAAAAAGCGGGGGTGTTGGTGGGGGCGCAGCCCCCCCCCCCCATTTGCAAGCACAATGCTCTCACGATGTTTTTCAACTAGTTTTTTAGGCTTGGAAGCACGCTTGGTACGGTCGAAAAGAAGCGGGGGGGGTTGGGGGGGGGCACCCCCCCCCACTTGCAAACACCCTGCTCACATGATGGGTGTCAACAAGTTTCCTGGCTTTGAAGCACGCTCTGCACGGCTTAAAAAAGGGGGGGGGGGGCGCAGCCCCCCCATTTGCAAACACTCACACGATGTTTTTCAACTAGTTTCTTGGGCTTTGAAGCATGCTTGGTACGGCTTAAAAGAAGCGGGGGGGTTGGGGGGAGCGCAGCCCCCCCCCCCACTTGCAAACACCCTGCTCACATGAAACTAATTTCTTGGGCTTTGAAGCACGCTCTGCACGGCTAACAAAAAAGCGGGGGGGTTGGGGGGGGAGCAACCCCCCCTTTTGTAAACACAATGCTCACACGATGTTTTTTTTTCAACTAGTTTCTTGGGCTTCGAAGCACGTTTTCTTTCTTCCTTCCTTGCTTCCTTCCTTCCTTCTTTTCTTCCTTCCTTGCTTCCTTCCTTTCTTCCTTCCTTCCTTCCTTTCTTCTTTCCTTCCTTCCTTGTTTTTTTCCTTTCTTCCTTCCTTCCTTCCTTCCATTCTTTCTTTCTTTCTTTCTTTCTTTCTTTCCTTCCTTCTTTCCTTTTAAAACCTACAAGAAACAACGCCTTCCTATGAAAATACAGATGGAATTACGGTTTTTCGTACGAACAACCGCGAAAATGCATCAACTCCTTAAAACATATAGAGGGAATGGTGGTTTTCTTAGGAAAAAACAAGAAAATCGAAAAAAAAAAATTGACCCCCCCCCCCCCCCCCCCCCCCCAAAAAAAAAAAAAGAAATAACCCCAAAAATAGGCCCTCCTTTCCTAATTGCGGCTTACGGAGCGCTTACTTGATCTGGCGTGTTTTCTGTTGTGGCGGTTCGCTTGCTGACTGCGGCTTCGTGTTTGCTGACCCGTGGCTTTTTCTAATGGTGACTTTTCTAATTGCGGCTTACGGAGCGCTTACTTGACCTGGCGTGTTTTGTTGTGGCGGTTCGCTTGCTCACTGCGGCTTCGTGTTTGCCGACCCGTGGCTTTTTCTAATGCTGACTTTTCTAAAGTGGGAGCCTCTGAAGACTCAAGGGATCATCGCGTCAATGCATTACAACGACTGTACGTTTTCCCTTTCGGATTGCCTGCTTCCGATGGTGGCTTTTGCGTTTTGCGACTGTGGCTTTTTCTAATTCTGAATTTTAAAACTGGGGCAGCGGAGGCGGGCGGCGTATATTTTTTCTTGCTTCCTGCTAGCGGCTTTTTGTTTTTCGACTGCGGCCGTCATGCGGCCGTCATGTTTTTTGATTTTTGCCTTGCTGTTTTCCGACAGTGGCCCTCATGTTTCCGACTCAACGTCCTCGTTTTTCGACTGCGGCCTCCATGTTTTCGACTTTGTTTGCTGAATTCGGCGTTGCCCTGGTCATGTGTTACAGCCAAAGAGTTGCAGCCACTCAGCCCACGGAGTGACCATACCATTGATGCCTTTCAGGCATAGCCGAGCGCTTGCGTCCAGGGTCTGGCGATCTTCCTCAGGCCGGTGCGTCGGAATCGTTCTGCAAGTGCCGCCGGGCAAACATTGCCGAAGCATGCCACTTGAATGCTTGCCTGAAACCAGGCGCTGGCCGGAATGCATTTCCTGGATCTTGGTTGGGGGCCTGGAGCTCCAGAGTGCAGTTGAGCGACTCGGATTTGACGCTTCAATGCGTTGCTTGGACCCTCTTGGACTCGACAATATTGCTTGCACAATGCCCAAGTTCGGGCTGAGGGCAGCTGCGTCCTTACAATTTCTGCCAAGGTTCCGGGGACGGCCGTGCAGTTATTGGTGCCGCATTGCTGGTGCGCCTTGCAGGTAGACAGGGATAGAATACTGATCTAATTAGTCACGTTTTAAAGTATGTAAGTATATGTATATAGCAACATGACAATATACTAATTTGACCGTTTAATAAGAAAAAATTTAAGAATTTCCAGAAATAATGATGTAATTATACTAGCCTTTTTCTGACCATCTCTCAGCAATGTCTCCGAAAGACGCAAGCTCCGCTTCAACATCAGGCGCCGACGCTTGCGGAGTCCAGGGGGGTAGAACTGTCTGTGCCGAATGCCCGGTGTCGAGTCGGAAAGTCGCAGAGCACTTAACTAGCGCATGATGGCATACTATCAGGTCCCGGCATGAACTGGCGGTCCGAAACAGGCAGGGAAGTCTCATGATATCAGTTGCAAGGTAGGTATGGCAGAAGACGCACCAAGACAGTCCGGCAATCAGGGCGTCGATTTGTCTGGTGTTTTGCTGCGCGCCTGACATGAGAGGAGCCGGCTGCCGAAAGGGATGCAGGACATCGTACGGTTTCAGCAGATCGACATTCTGCAGGCTCGATTGATCTGACATGGCCAGCCCACCCTTTGTCTGCTTCGTCTGCGCTTCACGCTCTCCTCGTGATGAATGTAGCATCGCCCTTCGCTGGAACAAGTGTGATGTCCATGACAACTCCTTGTGGCCCTGTTGCTGGGATGGTGAATATGCTTTTGACCAGTGATGATAGAAACACGTTGCGCCCTTCACCGACAGTTGTGTGGGGAGTATGCGTGAGTTCTGCAAGACTGATGAGTCGGAGCGTGGTCACCATGTTGGAAGATGCAGACAAGTCACCCATGGTCCTTGAACAAACTGCAGACATCTGCAGACATCGCCGCTTCAACTTGGTTGTTTCTGGATTTGGTGATGGACCGAGATTTGCTGATCCGTTTGCCAGAATGCATGCGGGAGCATTCGGCATGCGTGCCGTTCGCCACAATGCATGCGGGAGCATTCGGCATGCGTGCCGTTCGCCACAGTGTATGCGGGAGCATGCTTGATGTCTTCGCAGATTTGCAGGAAGGCTGGCAGTTCGTTTCATGACTGGGCTGGCATGTTGAGAGATTGACTGACTTGCGGCCCTGTTGCTGGGATGGTGAATCTGCTTTTGACCAGTGATGATAGAAACACGTTGCGCCCTTCGCCGACAGTTGTGTGGGGAGTATGCGTGAGTTCTGCAAGACTGATGAGTCGGAGCGTGGTCACCATGTTGGAAGATGCAGACAAGTCACCCATGGTCCTTGAACAAACTGCAGACATCTGCAGACATCGCCGCTTCAATATGGTTGTTTCTGGATTTGGTGATGGACCGAGATTTGCTGATCCGTTTGCCAGAATGCATGCGGGAGCATTCGGCATGCGTGCCGTTCGCCACAATGTATGCGGGAGCATGCTTGATGTCTTCGCAGATTCACAGGAAGGCTGGCAGTTCGTTTCATGACTGGGCTGGCATGTTGAGAGATTGACTGACTTGCGGCCCTGTTGCTGGGATGGTGAATCTGCTTTTGACCAGTGATGATAGAAACACGTTGCGCCCTTCGCCGACAGTTGTGTGGGGAGTATGCGTGAGGTCTGCAAGACTGATGAGTCGGAGCGTGGTCACCATGTTGGAAGATGCAGACAAGTCACCCATGGTCCTTGAACAAACTGCAGACATCTGCAGACATCGCCGCTTCAACTTGGTTGTTTCTGGACTTGGTGATGGACCAAGATTTGCTGATCCGTTTGCCAGAATGCATGCGGGAGCATTCGGCATGCGTGCCGTTCGCAACAATGTATGCGGGAGCATGCTTGATGTCTGCGCAGATTCGCAGGAAGGCTGGCAGTTCGTTTCATGACTGGGCTGGCATGTTGAGAGATTGACTGACTTGCGGCCCTGTTGCTGGGATGGTGAATCTGCTTTTGACCAGTGATGATAGAAACACGTTGCGCCCTTCGCCGACAGTTGTGTGGGGAGTATGCGTGAGTTCTGCAAGACTGATGAGTCGGAGCGTGGTCACCATGTTGGAAGATGCAGACAAGTCACCCATGGTCCTTGAACAAACTGCAGACATCTGCAGACATCGCCGCTTCAATATGGTTGTTTCTGGATTTGGTGATGGACCGAGATTTGCTGATCCGTTTGCCAGAATGCATGCGGGAGCATTCGTGCCGTTCGCCACAATGTATGCGGGAGCATTCGGCATGCGTGCCGTTCGCCACAGTGTATGCGGGAGCATGCTTGATGTCTTCGCAGATTCGCAGGAAGGCTGGCAGTTCGTTTCATGACTGGGCTGGCATGTTGAGAGATTGACTGACTTGCGGCCCTGTTGCTGGGATGGTGAATCTGCTTTTGACCAGTGATGATAGAAACACGTTGCGCCCTTCGCCGACAGTTGTGTGGGGAGTATGCGTGAGGTCTGCAAGACTGATGAGTCGGAGCGTGGTCACCATGTTGGAAGATGCAGACAAGTCACCCATGGTCCTTGAACAAACTGCAGACATCTGCAGACATCGCCGCTTCAACTTGGTTGTTTCTGGACTTGGTGATGGACCAAGATTTGCTGATCCGTTCGCCACAATGCATGCGGGAGCATTCGGCATGCGTGCCGTTCGCCACAGTGTATGCGGGAGCATGCTTGATGTCTTCGCAGATTCGCAGGAAGGCTGGCAGTTCGTTTCATGACTGGGCTGGCATGTTGAGAGATTGACTGACTTGCGGCCCTGTTGCTGGGATGGTGAATCTGCTTTTGACCAGTGATGATAGAAACACGTTGCGCCCTTCGCCGACAGTTGTGTGGGGAGTATGCGTGAGGTCTGCAAGACTGATGAGTCGGAGCGTGGTCACCATGTTGGAAGATGCAGACAAGTCACCCATGGTCCTTGAACAAACTGCAGACATCTGCAGACATCGCCGCTTCAACTTGGTTGTTTCTGGACTTGGTGATGGACCAAGATTTGCTGATCCGTTTGCCAGAATGCATGCGGGAGCATTCGGCATGCGTGCCGTTCGCAACAATGTATGCGGGAGCATGCTTGATGTCTGCGCAGATTCGCAGGAAGGCTGGCAGTTCGTTTCATGACTGGGCTGGCATGTTGAGAGATTGACTGACTTGCGGCCCTGTTGCTGGGATGGTGAATCTGCTTTTGACCAGTGATGATAGAAACACGTTGCGCCCTTCGCCGACAGTTGTGTGGGGAGTATGCGTGAGTTCTGCAAGACTGATGAGTCGGAGCGTGGTCACCATGTTGGAAGATGCAGACAAGTCACCCATGGCCCTCGAACATGCTACAGACATCGCCGCTCCAAGTTGCCTGCTTCTTGGTTTTGTTATGATGGACGATCAATTTGGATGTTGCCGCGTGCTGAATACTGGTGGTGTGCGGATGTCAAGCCGAGCTGTGCAGCAAATGCGCGAGGATGAAAATGCACACGCTGCGCCCTTTCTGACCAAATTATGGGGAGCATTAAGTGAGTTCTGCAATTCTGAGCTGGACAAAAGATGTTGAGGGCCGTCGCCAAGATTTGGAACCTGCTGGTTACGGGCGTGCGGATGTCAGGGCGAGCTGTGCAGCAAATGTGCGAGGATGAAAATGCACACGCTGCGCCCTTTCTGACCAGATCGTGGGGAGCATTAAGCGAGTTCTGCAATTCTGAGCTGGACACGGGACGTTGATGACCGTCGTTAGAGTTTTGTAACGTGCTGGATGCTGCGGTTGTGGCAATGTCAGGATGAGTTGTGCAGCAAATGCGCGAGGATGAAAATGCACACGCTGCGCCCTTTCTGACCAAATTATGGGGAGCATTAAGTGAGTTCTGCAATTCTGAGCTGGACAAAAGATGTTGAGGGCCGTCGCCAAGATTTGGAACCTGCTGGTTACGGGCGTGCGGATGTCAGGGCAAGCTGTGCAGCAAATGCGCAATGATGAAGATGCACACGCTGCGCCCTTTCTGACCAGATCGTGGAGAGCATTAAGCGAGTTCTGCAATTCTGAGCTGGACACGAGACGTTGAGGACCGTCGTGTGAATTTTGTCACGTGCTGGATGCTGCGGTTGTGGCAATGTCAGGATGAGTTGTGCAGCAATTGCGCGAGGATGAAAATGCACACGCTGCGCCCTTTCTGACCAAATTATGGGGAGCATTAAGTGAGTTCTGCAATTCTGAGCTGGACAAAAGATGTTGAGGGCCGTCGCCAAGATTTGGAACCTGCTGGTTACGCGTGTGCGGATGTCAGGGCAAGCTGTGCAGCAAATGCGCAATGATGAAGATGCACACGCTGCGCCCTTTCTGACCAGATCGTGGAGAGCATTAAGCGAGTTCTGCAATTCTGAGCTGGACACGAGACGTTGTGGACCGTCGTTAGAATTTTGTAACGTGCTGCATACTGCGGTTGTGGCAACGTCAGGATGAGTTGTGCAGCAAATGCGCGAGGATGAAAATGCACACGCTGCGCCCTTTCTGACCAAATTATGGGGAGCCTTAAGTGAGTTCTGCAATTCTGAGCTGGACAAAAGATGTTGAGGGCCGTCGTTAAGATCTGGAACCTGCTGGTTTCGCGTGTGCGGATGTCAGGGCAAGCTGTGCAGCAAATGCGCAATGATGAAGATGCACACGCTGCGCCCTTTCTGACCAGATCGTGGAGAGCATTAAGCGAGTTCCGCAATTCTGAGCTGGACACGAGACGTTGTGGACCGTCGTTAGAATTTTGTAACGTGCTGGATACTGCGGTTGTGGCAATGTCAGAATGAGTTGTGCAGCAAATGCGCGAGGATGAAAATGCACACGCTGCGCCCTTTCTGACCAAATTACGGGGAGCATTAAGTGAGTTCTGCAATTCTAAGCTTCGCAAACGATGTCGAAGACCATCGTCACATGATGTGTTGCTCAGCGGTGGAGACGTGTCCGCCCTACCGCTGTCTCTTCACGCTGTGGCAGGTAGAGCCTACTCGTCTTGGTGCCACTGAAATTGTGTGGCTGGCCAATCTGCTCTGAGCTTACATTGAGCTGGCTCTGTGCACAGGTGAGTGGGCGATTCAGGATCGTGCAGAGCTGACTTCAGGCGTTTTCCAGATGAGACGGTGGAGGCCATCAACCAGTACTTGGAGATGCACTGCGCAGCCCTCTGTGACCATTCGTAAAAAATCTCTTGCATCTTGGTATCATGGCGCGACCTACTTGTGATGGCTCGTCAAGGTCGGCTTGTCTGAGCAGCTCAGGTGCACGAGACGTAGATGCGGTCGTGTGAAACTTAAGCCGCTTCTGGCTTTTCAGTTTCTGCCGGTGAGCAGTGAGGCAGGCACGATTTGCGCAAGGTTGCGACACTGCGCGAATGTTCTTTTCGGCGCCCGCACGAAGCATGGACAATGGAGGCATCTTTGAGAGTTGCATGATGTGCTCCATGCACTCTATTCATAGTTGCACATGACATGAGTTTCTCATTCTGGTATACAGGGAGACACTTGCAATAAACACCTTACTTCATATAGTGGCCCTCGGCAGGTCTCCATGAGCTGGAACCCACAGGGGTGGCCGGTCTTCTGCTACCTCTTGCCGCGTGCAGAAAACCGTAAGTGGCCATGCTGGACGTGAACTGTCTCAAGCCTAAGCTCTCCCCAGCCGACAGCAAAGGCCAAACCAGCCACAACCAAAACCACGGCCACAGAACAACCCAGACCAATAATTTGAATTCCTCGACAAGCCAGAGAAAGGACATAAAACGTCTTCTGCTTCTTTCCAGAGAGAGCTCGTTGTTCGCCCTCGTTCCCGTGGGGTCCACGCCCAGCTGTGAGATTGCTAGCAAGTTGGACACCTCGAGTTATAGAAGGTGTGACCTCAGCGGCTTGGGTTCGGCAAGGATGCCTCTGTGCTGGTAGGTGGCGGTCATCGCATGTAGCGCCTCGCCGTCAAAGCCATTTAGGCTGCATGATTGGGAAAACTTTCATGTACAGGAAAGGCGAAACAGCGAAATGTGTATGTGGACAGTCAGCAACCTACCCATCACAAGACATCTGAAGACAGCTCAACGAACGTGTTACGCTGGCTGTGTAGTGTCGGGAGCTGAGCAAGTCGAGCCAGAGTTTCTTGAGCCGGACCAGAGTTGCAGGCAAAGACAATGATAGTAATGTTTTTCCTATTGGTATTAGTATTTTCGCACAGCAGACCGATTGCAGTCCAGTGTGCAGGGCTTTGCCATGCTGTCGGCATCAAGTAATATATTGTGGTTTGTGGTCGTTGTCCAAGTCTTTATTATCATGGAATGATTTTGTGGTTTAGTTCTGCGATCGTTTGCTGTTTGCTTGCTTTGGGCCAGGTGAGAACAGCAACACCTGCCTCTCCGTGGCTTCACCTGAATGTTAAAGTACGCCACAGGTGTGTCATGGAGACGATTGCCTTCCTGGCTCCAGTGTGGGGCTGGCTGCTTACTACTCGTAGTGTCGTAAAGGATCGGGGAGATGGAGGGGTGCATGCCACATCTTCGCATTCCCTGATCGCGGCAGCCCGCAACTCAGGACCCAGTCCGGCAGCACCATCGGTGGTGCCGGTACAGGGGGTGCGGCGACAGCCCCGGAGGCAGAAGAGATGGCCATGGCGGAGCCAAAACTCCCTAAGGGCGCCTCTGCCCACCCATGTTTTGCGGTGCTTCCTTTCAAGAGTGTGGGCATCGCCAGTAGCCAGCTTCCGGCAGCGCTGGCAGCGCCTTTGGTGGCTCTGGCAGTAAGGCAGCAGACTCGAGGGCGCATGGTGTCGATACAAGTCTCATGTCCCAAGACTCGAGTCCAGGCATCGATCCTGCAAGTCGCTTGCGCGACGGGCCACAGTCTTCATTGATGGAGCCGGCCTCGCCATGTTTGCGTTTTGTTAATGTTTCAAGTTCTACTCTACCAGGTGTTGCCCTTGGGATCGGGCAGCGTCATGTTTCGCTGCAGGAAGCCGGAACAACAGGCCTGCAGGCCTGCTGGGCTAGCTAGTTGCGTTGACTCTACCTACAGACGTGCGCAAGAAGACAGCAAGCGGCATCTTAGCAGTGGACGAGACTATCCCATGCAAGAGAATACTCTCCTTTGTTGGGCCCGGTGGTCATGAGCAAACGCACCCCTAGTCTCCGAGTTGTTCTGTGCAAAAGCAGAGCACAGCAAAGGGAGTGTTCTTTAGAAACAGTCTTGAGCTGCGAATCTGCAAAGTCCTCTTGAATGAAGGGTGTCGAAGAAAACCTTAGAGCAGGAGGTGGTGCACTTGCTGCAGATTCTCATGTGGAAAGTTCCAGTGTCAAGACACCTAAACCAGCCTTGCTTTGAACTGGGACCCGCTTGTTCTGGCGAAGGTTCGTGAGCGCCTGGAGAAGCATCCCGAGATTCAAATCCTCAGCTTGGATGCTGACAAGCGCAAGGACGCCCGTCATTTGCTGGGCCCACTTGCCTTTTCCCGGTATGCGGCGCCCCGAAGCCGCTAGCAGATTATCTTATTCCACATCCGCGAAGCTTTGCAAGTCTTTTGATGGAGAACGTTGGCAGACCGCAGGAAGCATGACGTAGCTGTAGCTGCAGATTTCCTGCGCAACCGCTCGCCTTTGGTCGGGGTCGGGTGACATGGACCAGGCCAAGACAGGTCAAGAGGCATTCTGCTAGTCGTTTAAGGGCTTGTTGCCTCTTGCATCAGCAAAGTGCAACGCGTGCTGTTCAGGGCTGCAGGGTCTTGACGCGGATCTTTTGTCATTTTGTCTAATTTGGCCTTTCTAGTAGACCCCTGGTGCCCCTATGTATTCACGACAGTCGCTGGGCACACGGGAGACCAGGGGCTCCAAGGCCAAAGCCAGCCTTGCACATCACCTTAATGGAGAAACGCTTGAAAAAGAAAGATGTCCTCTGAATAACTCATGGCATTTCGGCATCTGCCGAAAAGCATGCGAAGGACGAGGATGCTCGCCGCGAAGCTCTGCAAACAGCAGATGCAGCGGCACGCCCCGAGGGCCAACCAGGGTGATTCAAGCATCGCATCAGGTCGCATCTCACTTGGCGCGCGGAAATCTGTCCACTGCTGGTTAGATGGGCTCTGTTGGTCAGGTACTGTGCCTGCCTGACGATGCGGCCATAGCAGCTGTGGCATTGGCAGAGGGCCGGGGCCCGCAGATGTTGTGGGTGAGAGGTTCGGACCGTTAAGAACGTTAGGAGTGTGAGGCTGTCTGGCAGCCATGGTGCTGAGGCTCCAGCACGGTCATTGTCGATGCCAGCACTGCGCACCGGGTATCTGACGGCAGACGCCTTGAAAGCCCGGAGATGTCGCGCACCCCTCTGCAAGGAAGTCATCCCATGAGCGAAGCCCGTAGCAGAAGTTGAGTCTTTCGTGGATTCAGAAAACGCCAAATCGGTGAACGCAAAGTGGCGAATGCATGTCAGGAGTTTGCGGGGTCGGATGGGCTTTTTCAGGGCGCAAGCCCCAAACCACGCTCCGCGGCTCTCACAAGGTTGGCTGTATGGTTTTCCCGAGATGAGCGCGGACCAGGCGCAGCTGGTAGTGGACCTGCAGGGAATTAGAGTAGTGTTTTCTACACTAATGTAATCACATTTTAGTAGAATTTTGATTAGGATGTTATTGTATCATGATATTTCAAAATGATGCTTGGGATCTTTCCGGTGGCACGGGCGATTGGAAGCTACAGGCCAAGGCAATCTCCGCGTCGACGCGGATCGCGAACCCTGGCTGCTATCCGACAGGTCCGCTCGCCAAACTCATGCGCAGTTATGCATGTCTGCCTTGCCTACCTCCTGCCGAAACCCTGCTTGGCTTTGTGTCCACAGGCAGGACAATCCAGGAAACACAAAACACAGGCTTCAATCTTCCCCATCAGGCCTGTGGAAATACCTCGTGAGATCGGTATCAAACCACGTGCAATCGGTAGAAAGATACTTGCACATCCCAGCACAGTATAGCTTAGCAAGCCATGGCTGCATCTGTCATGGATGGCGCGGTGCAAGCAGCCCTCAGCGGTGAGGGCGGCAAAGGAAAAGGGAAGTCTCGACCGCCGCCGCCTCCCAAAGCTAAAGCCAAGCCCAGGGCGGAGCAGGGCTACAACGCTCAGCTACCAGAGGCTCGTATGCCCATGTTTTTGCCCATCAATCGGGTGTACCAGTTCTGGAACGCGCCCGCTTCAGGGCAAAAATGTTGGAGAAAGAAAGATGCCTCCCCTGCCAAAGCCCGCAGCTGAGGAGGCCCAACCCGCAGAGCAAATTCACGGCAGCTTTCACACTGCTTTTCGACTTTCAGAGTGCTTCGATGGTACTTCCATGCTGCCCATATTCCAGGGCACACGTTAAGCCGGACACGAGGCCCTGGTTGCGATCGCCAAGCTGCAGTGCGACGATGGCTCCTGGCAGCTTTCAGATGAGCTCGCGGGAGTGCGGCCCAATCGCATTCATTCCCGGGGACATGCGAGTGACGTGCGGGCAACGTGCCCCAGTGTGACTTGAAGTGCCAGAGGCTGGGTCTATACCCTTCAGCCTTGGCTTTGTCGCCAACACCCACAGCCACAGTTCCGAGTTGGGACCGCCTGGTTGCCACGTCCACGGCGAGACAGGCGGTATGCAGCGCAGACTAATGAATGTGCACTGATGGACCGAACAGACATGAACAGAGAAGCTTTATATGGGTTGACAGCAGCATATTCGGCATGTGACATGTGGTGTGTGTGTGTGTGTCACAGTGTGTGTGAGTTTTTTTTTTTTTCTCTCTCTCTCTCTCTCTCTCTCTGTGTCTCTCTGTCTTTTGTGGAGACTGGGTGGTTGGAATTTCGATTTTTTGTCAGGCCTTGGAACGCTGCCGCTCGATTCTGGCCGCGCGGGGAAGTGACCGGGACGAGACCTTGAGCGTGCGAAGCACAGTCATTTTTGAAGGGGAGCTCTCTTGCAGAGTGAGCGGAGTGGGCCAAAGATGGCCAAAGGGTTGGAGCGTTGGATTTTGCTAGGTGGCGGGTGCGGCGTCAGTCCTGGGCTCGAAGCTATTAGACGCCGCCATTGACTACCTGGATGCAAAGTGGAAGGAGGCCCGCGAGTGCTGAGCTCTGTCATTGCAATTTGTCATGCTCTGCTCAATTGATTCTATTGAATCTATTGCCAGGTCTCCGAGTGCAAGCATCTGCTCCACCTCTATGCACGGCAGCGGTTTAGTTTGGACATGGCTGTGACGAAGCTCCTGGACCAGCAGCTGCCAAGACCCGACTGGCAGGCTGGTCCCAAACAGCACGAAGTCATTGGTCGCTGACTGGTCACTGACTGGCAGAGTACCGCACTTGCCTGCAGAACGCAAGGCGCAGTTGAGGGCCAAGATGTCGGTACACAAGACCTGCGACGGGGCTTTGTTCAGTTACCTGCGGCTTGTCGCAGCATGTGGCAGCAGCATCAGCAGATCTTCTGGAAAGTTGTTGTTTGAAACACGTGCAAACAGGGTGCCGGGCAAGCGGGGGTTTGGGTACCGCCTGCCCTGCATCTGTGTATAGGGCAGTATACGGTTCTTGTACGTTCGAGGTGACGTCTGTGGGAGCAGCTACACGGCAGCTGTGCCTTGAATGCACCCTAGGAGAAGCACTCCTCGTTATAAGAACGATTGACAGCACCCATGCTGGAAGTTGAAGAGTATAGTGAAGCGAAGCGTGCAAGTATTCGTTGGGCGGCCAGGTCGGGAAATGCTTGGTGTGCTTTCCACCCGAACTCCCTGCTGAGCCGGAACTCTGCCTCGCACTTCATACAGCAACCATGTCGCAAGCTGCTTGTGCAGCACTGTGCAAGTCCCATGCAGATGCGCCAAGGAACGACGAAAGGTGGAGGAGCAGCTCGCGTGGCAGAAGCTTCCCTCAGCTCCGATCAGTGTACCTTTGGACTGGTCTCAACCCGAAGGCCCAGCCCGCGCAAGTCACTACAAAACTCGTTGCTGAATCTCGAAAGCAGCATTGCTGAAACATGTAGCGCCCATTGAACTGTAGAGTTCCCTGAGTGTGCGGGGCAGGTATGAAGCCGTGCGAAGGCGGATCCGGTGGCGTGGCCCTCTTCAAACTGCCCCAGGGCGTGGTTGCAGTGAAGCCACAGAGCCCCGGCTTAGTGCTTTAGAGTAGTTTGTGAGTTTCCTGCTGGTCCTCGCCGCTGTAGCGGACTTGCCAAGCTAGTATTGAGATGCTCACGGCAAGGAAAATGACAGCCGCCGCAGAGTTCCTGGCTATTCAGGTGCCTAAGTTGCATGCTGCCCAGGTTTTACTGCCAGTTTGTGTTCATACTGTTTGTGTTCATACTGTACAAATGGATGCCCAGGTAGCGAAAGCTGTTGCAGTTCCTGTGGCGGATATCCGATCTTTGGCCCGAAGAGCTATGTCATTATGTTTGCTATGCTTCTTGCATTCTCGGACAGCAGCACCTCGAACCCATAATGCTGCGTAGTAAGTCGCTGCAGGAGTGGTGCGGTGGGTGGATCAGGAGTATGCTTCGATTCATGACACCCTTCGGAGCCTTGGATATGCTTCTTTCCGTTGGCAGCATGGCTTTTAGAGTTTCGGATACCTACGAAAGGTTTTCTGTTAACGTTAAGCAGCCCCTTTGAAGATTTCAGTGTGGACTCCTGCTCGCGGAAAGCAACCCTCTCCACTCTCACGAAAGTACGCGGTCAACACAGGAGTGTCGATCCCAACGAAGAGCAGGGATTGAACATGCTGAAGCTCAGACTGCACCCTGGCACGCAAGCGGATGCTCATGTCATTAGTTATTTACTCCTGAGCCGATGCCGTTTGACTTGTGGCTGTATCAAGGCATCACCGCAATTGTGAGTTCTTCGGCATTCTGGCTGCTCGGTTGGTTTCATGTTCGCCGCTTTGAAGCTTTGATTCAGCGGCCTTCCAGCACAGAGTTACCGAGGAGTATATCCCTGGAATCGGTGTCCAGGGTCAAGAGCTGCACGAGCGGCTGCAAGAACCTCGACCTACACTGATGGGCACCTCCCTGTCACACATGTTGCCTGTTCAATAAGGATACCCTGTAAGGGGCGCTTGTCCCATGGTCAATCGGGGCCGGGCAAACCGCATGCATTCACATGACTTCAAAGAGTCACTGCCATCTGCTTCTGTCCTGCCGAGGCTATGCAGCCTCACAGATTAGATGCCTTCTGGTATCAGGCAATGGTCTGGGATGCGTCCACCAGTAACGACGTGTTGTTCATCTCCACGCACTCACCGAGAACCGCCAAGTACTTTTAGCAAGCTGCAACTGCAGTGTGGATCTGTCTCTTCCCTCATGTGTGCAAGCCTTGTTGTTCTTCTTGGACCCCCCCCACAATGTATCAGGGTCAAGCACTTCGCCTTTGCACCTTTGTGCTGGCAACAGGTTGGTGAGATCGTTGCCTTCGATGCGTTAATCAACAATGTTGATCGTGTTCCACTTCTTTGGGACAACGAAGGCCGGGAACCCTGGTGATTGGCGAAATGGCCGTCAGGGATCCAGCATGCCATCCTGCAAGAGAGATGCGCGGCTCAGTGATTTAGGCAACACCGCCAACCTGATGTTGCGGGAGGATGCCGAGGACGTTGCAGTTGTGGGCATCGACCAAGCTGTCACAGCCATTGTCGCTCAAGGCCATCTTTTCTCTTTGTTGGAAGCAGTTGCTTCTGCCGCCGACTCCCACCGTGATTGTTGCAGGCCCCGGCCGGGATCGATACGCAGGCAGGTTGCGGCTCCTAGCGGAGGGCCTCTTCACCGGGTCCTGGCAAGAGAAGGAGGTGGCCATGGCCGTGTTTTTTTTCAATGCTCTATGAATGCCCTTGCGGATGGTGTTCTGCAATGCTTTGCAACGTTTTGCAGCTGGAGGCACAAGGCCCACAAGGCTCAACTCGAGGAGGGGCCTGGTCCATCGGTACAGGCATGGCACATGTTTCTGAGTGCTTCCAGCCCCAGGGCTGCACATCAGCATTTATCAGCCTGATCCCGTTTTCACAAACTGCCCAAGACTGGCCAAGAGTCAGCTGTGTGTTGAGCTCAGCCCATAATAACATGATGCCATAAGGCTAAGCTGTGGCGCGACTATCCATTGGAAACCCTTCATGGATGGTGTTCGATTCCGGCTGAACTTCATCGCTGACCTTGTGGATGATACTTGCTGAAACAAGTAACAATCCGGTGCTGCATTCAGCTTGCTACATGGCACTTGAGTGCTTTGATCTGTGCTTGCCAAGAATGGTACGTTGCGCACGGCGCTGGATGAAGCCACCGCCGCTGCTGATGAGGCACGCATGCAGTACTAAGTGCTATGCACGTGAGCATTCCCAACACCGCAGGGACACTTGACAGAAAAAGCGTCCAAGTTCTTTTTCTGAGAGGTCTTCAGAGCAGCAACTGTGGATGTTGGCTTCCGACAGCTGCCGAAGATGCAAGACTTCCTGATGGAAATGGCATCCATCATTGCGGAAACGAGGTGGCTCGTGCACAAGATTGAGATGAGAGTATAGGCCGAGGTGTTCAGACTGCCTTTGATGCTACATCCTCGTTGTCAGTTTGACGAAGTTGGAAAGTGCCGCAAGCTGAGGAGGCTGACAACGACCAACGCAGATGCTGCCGCTGCTTGAGGATATCCGGCTGTTCCTCAGTGACACATGGGTGAAGTTGCAAAGAATTTTCTTGGAGTGTTTAAGATCCGGCTCCTAAGTTGCTGTGCCGGCAGATGCCGGCAGCTGCACTCCCGATGGGATCTGGAGCGTCCTGCTTGGATTGAGATGAAGACCCTCAGTCTTGGGCTCAATCCTGGCAACAGCTTTTTATGTTCTCTTATGCATCCTGGAGCTGCGCATGCCCCTAAGCAAGATCGCGTGCCATGCTTCTCAAGCGTGCCGCTCACACGAAGTCAGGGAGACGCGTGCGCCGCGTACGCAGGGCACCTGCAGATCTTGACTTCGCTCCCTCTACGGCCCGTCCCCAGTTCGTGCGCGCTGCGTGCACCTTCGGGCGGACTTGCCTTGTACAGCAGCGAGGATTTGCAGCTCAGCCAAAGCCAAAAGAGCAAGACCGACATGCCTCCTCAGTGTGCAGCACTAGAGGCACTTAGATTAGAGTGAATGCAGGGTACAAAACAAGCAGAACACCTCAGTCTCTCACTGTGCAATCCAGCTGCCCGAAGGCTTCATTGGTCTGGTCCGGCTAGGTGCCCAAGCATGCTGCAAAACGGCCAGAACAATAAGCGGCTCCCTGTCCTTTAGTGCTGCAGCATTGTGACGGCTTGCACTTTGCAACCTTTTGCAACCTACAGTATGCTCAGGCCGCTTGTAGACGCCGGACTTTTGCCACCGGAGTCCAGTTTGGTGGTGCGACTCGTAATGACGTGTACATGTTTGCTCCAGCATCCAAGCAGATGGAGGGTGAACGCGGCTTGCGTGCAGGTACATGCTGTCAGTGGATACTCTGGTGGCGGCAAGGTGCCTGAACTGCCAGGGTACCGTGCAGATGCTTGCTGAGCAAGCCGTGCCGAAGTCATGAATCGTACGTGCTGCACGGGATGATCCAGGTATCGAATGATACTTTGCACGTTTACGCAGACGACTCGTCAGGGGCTGATCAAGACCTACGAGGAGGAGGACCACGAGCCATGGGGAGCGTGCCCACAGCACACACCATGCACTCAGCCGTGAGGCAGGATAACGAGGCATGTGTGCTGCCATGCACTTGCTTACATTAGCATCTTCTAACCGTTCCAATATTGCATGGCTGGACCCGAAGTGATTCTGAAGGTACGGCTTTGCTTTGAATCACAAGCACCTGCCCGAGATGGCAAGATGGACCGGTTTGCAAGAGGCCAGCGCAATCCGTGGGAGTTCTGAAATTGGCCATGGAAGTGTTTTAGCACAAGTGTGGGGCACTTGTACTTGGGTTTTACTGATATGAACATGCCATGTTCCTAAGCTTTGCATGGCTTGACTTGAGGAGCCGATCTTCTGCCCTGCTGTGGGAGACTTCAAGCAAGGTATGGTAGTGCACTGTCCCGAGCTATACAATCAGCCACCGTGTCCGAATCACCAGCCATGCCTCCCCTTCCACGTGTTGCACCAAGCAGGCTCTTCCATCCAAAAATGTCGCCTGAGGTCTGTTCCTTTGAGGTTCTCGCAGCTCCGGTCAGGCATGGATACGTTCACTGGAGCTATCTGGAGCTCAGCAGAGTTGCCCTGTCCTGGAAGGCACGACCGCATCAGACGTGCATGCAGCCATGGCAGCCCACTACGAAGGGCAGCGGTTTGTGTGCGCATCCCAGTTTTAGCATAAGTCGCCTTATGCTCTGGCGTCGGCCGCCAGGTCTGTCAAGCCCCTGAACGACAAGGAAGGTCTTTTCGGCATGGGTTAGCAGTGTGCGGATGCCTCCCCCTGTTATGACATGCTGATCCCCTGGAAGCAACAATGTAAATTCCGCCGTCGTGATAAGCAAGCCGTGAAGATGTATCAAGATGCAACAAGAGATTCACACCGTGCTTCTCATTTGCGACAGTTTCCAGTCTTCGCGAAGTCTGTTGATCATTCTAGTAGTTGGCACTCCTATCATTGAGAACTCTGCGTACAAGACTGAACGGCCCGAGTGAAGGTACAGTAGGTTGCGGTGCAGTGATACTTTCCGTGCTGTGATACCTTTGGTCACACTCCTGTTCAAAACGCAAAGGCAAGGAGCTGCACGGCTGCTGGAATGCTGTTGCACATTCGTCAAGTCCAACACTGTCCTACACGCGCGTTCGTTCAATTCTTGCTCTCCTTGGGCTCGAAGACCCAGGGCTGCGAAATGGTGGCAACACCGGAAGTCATAGTCAGACTTGGCAGCCGTACACATAGAGTAGCGGCGCAGCAAAAGAAATTGTAGGCGCAGCCATCCGCATCGCAGTCGGGTGCTTCTGACATGAAGCCCACACGATGCTTGTACCGTGCACTCAGAGCTAAACCACCTACTATCCAAGTTTTAGATAGCTTCCCACTTGATGCTTTGTTTCCCATGGACACTGGCTAGGGCTGCGCAGCCGGCAACGGCAAGCGCTGCCCAGCCAGCTGCAAGATGGACGGCACCATCATGCAAACCCACAAAGATTGGTCCGATGGCGCCTGGATGTCACAAGGTGTGGTTAAGGCCTTTGTCGTTTTCAGCGTATCTGTCTTTTAGGTGCTTGCGAGCTCGGCGGCAGTACTCGTTCGCCGGCACCTGGCACGGCGCAGAGCGGTGGCTGCAAGCTCAGTGGGCTCCGGCATCGCAGGACGACGATACAGCTACTGACTATACCTGCAGATTTCCTTGGCCCATGTGTATGGCAAAGGCTCGTCTCCATTTGCCTCCTGGAGGCTTGGAGCCTTGCTTTGTTTTCTCTCGGAACACCTAGGTCGAGGGCGATGTTCATTCAGAGGCGGTTCAAAAGTGGCTTGATTCCATGATCATTGGCCTGAGCTTCTGCCCGTGGGCCAAACCTGCCAGCGAGGCATCCGTACATGGACATGATTTCTGCATGGTTCTCTGGTATAGGGCAGCTAAAACACTTTCGAAAGACATGGAAGCCCCATACCGTCCCTTTGGGCTGTGCAGGCAGGTGGAATTCGCATCGTAACGAGCATGGCGAAGTCGCCTGCGGATGCCCTGGAAGATCTCAAAGCTGAAGCGGCAAGGCTGCAAGGCCGGCTATCTTGGATACCGATTGTCTTATGTTATGATATGTTATGACACGTTATGACCCCTGAGTGATGCCCGACCTTCAGCGTCTGAAGGGTACGGAGAGATCTGAAGCAGCAGTCGTGTTACTAGGAGCTGCAACAGGAGCTCCGGGCACCACAGCGACTACGGTGACTACACTTCTGGTGTGTCCTGGCGTGAAGCCTTGGGAAGACTTCGCAGAGTTCAACGCCTTTCGAGAGACCGAGCTCGGGATGCTCGGCAGCGGCAACAAAGGAAGAGAGCTCTGGTCAGTCCGGTCAATATACTCGTTCTTTCAAATTTCTATTTCCATTTCATACTGTGGCAAAAGCGTGCCACAGCGTACCTGTATTTCCGAGGAATGGTGAGGCCCTAGTGAAGGAGTTTGGTTGCAAAGTGGTTTGCTTTCATCCTCACTCTCGGGCACCTTGTCAATGGTTGCTTCGTCCATGCTTATTCCAAGTCATGGCGGATGATGTGCAGCCAGACTTTTTCAAGGCATCTGACAGCTATGGTTTACAAGAGGGTGACGAGATCGTCATCCGCAGAGAGGATGGCCAGGGCCCAAGCGCGTGCGCGGCTTGCATGTTCGTTGGTTGATGTGTGAGGAAGCACAGAGCCAGTTACAAATGTTTCTGCAGCTTGCACGGAGCAGGTGAGCAGCTTTGTGGGACCATCTTGAGCATGGCTCAGGGTGAGGAGGGCGACAGCATCTTGAGGGTCCAGTGTCCAGGCTATTCAGTCACATGTGATCACAATATGGTGGCGTTAGCTCGCTTTTTGGCTCCTTCATCTGTTCCATGAAGTCTTTGCCTGAGGTTCTATGGCAAAGTGGACCAAGGCAACGCAAAGCACACCTTGACCTGCATGTGACAGCAAGCCTGCTCGTGCAGGTAATGCAGAGGATGGCGAGTTTGGCATGCAGCCTTTTGCGGACTCCGAAGATCACGTTGATTGTGTTCCAGAGGAAAGTGTGCCTTGGTGGCAATTTGTATAGTCTCAGAAAATCATGTTGGGCCTTGGGCAGCTTTCTGCCTCCCGCGCGCACCGCAGCATCTTCTGCAGGGTGTCGTGCGTAATTCCTGGCAGACTCGCACGAGTCTGCATATGCCGTATGCTGTAAGAGGTGCTGCAGTTACTGGGCCGGGAAGCCCTCCAGGAGGAGGTACTGATCTTCGCTACTGATGAGCAAACAACGCTGTAATGATACTCTGACAGCTCTGTCAAGTTTTAAGCATCGCAGGATGCCTGCCGCAGCATATTGGGCCGCGCACCCCGAATAGTTCTTCATCTTCTCCGTGCTGCAGATCTGGAGGCGCACTTATGTATGTCAAGCTCGGTAACGATCTACTCTGGAGACTGCATTTCGGGGTAGCACCTGTACAATACAGGTACACCTCCCGAACTCCACAAGCTTCAGTACTGCAATGGACCTGTCAGGCTGTCGACAATCAGAAGGCATGGAGGGAACCCCTATGGTTAAACAGAGCGAGCGTCAAGACAGAGTGCATCGTGGAACATGAAACATGTTGCTTTGTAAGTGCTATTTGCGGCTGGTTCGTTTCAGGCATTTGAGACCCTCGAAAGAAATGAGCAGGCCAGGGAGGACTGCACGTGGTCCCACAGTTGCTGACATACTCGCATGTAGCTCGAGTATCCGCGCAGGTGGTTGAGTCAATGGGTGAAGAAGAATTCGATCGACGTGTGCACGAGTGTGGCTGAGAAACGTGCATGAAGAGTCCGCCGGGTCTATTTGGTCCCATCGTGCATGCCTGCATGCACAAGTTGTTGCCTGCGCTTGTTGCCTGCTGCCCGTCTGCCAGCCCTGGAACGCGGCGCATTCTTGCGGCCTGATGCTGTGAACGACACCAACAAGCTTGTGGCCTAGAAATCCCAGAGTTCGAGAGCAGCACAGACTTCTGGAATAAGTCGAATATGTAGCGTATGGTAGCATGTGCGCGTGTGTCCGTCATCGTTTCTTCTACGAAATTCGGGAAAAGTTTGCAACGGCAGATTAACCTAAGCAAAGGGGAAAGACATGATGCTGTGACGACGCACAGGCTGGAACTGTTCTGCTTCGCCAACGAGGAGCGCTGGGCTTTTCCGGTGCTGCAAGCATTCGCACTTCGAAGTGTTAAATGCCGGCAGGACAAAAAGACACTCTGGCTTGCAGCGCGGTTGGACAACCTGGGCAAGGCATGACATGGGTTCCTCTCTCGGGGCATGATTCGTGATGCAATAACCTCTGCAGTATAGTAAAAAAAAATATATATATATATATATTCGGTATATTCATGCACAAACATATAGAGTCAAGCAATGTAATGCAATGTAGAAAGAAAGAAACATCATGCAGCAAAACGGGTACACACATAGATATCTACATGTAGTGCTATGTTGCATGTATACATCTCCAGTGGCAAAAAGTAAGCAAACATACATCCATACATGCATAACAAATCATGTGGAATGTGCTCAGGGTGCCAGCGGAGCGTGTGTGCAGAATCTGAACTTGGCGCTGGGTTTTCCAGAGGCAGAGGGCAACAAGAACAAATGGCAGAATTGGATTTCTATTGCTCACATTTTGTCACTTGCACTGTTGCAAGGGCCCTACAGTTGCATCGTGAGCACAGAAGCTTACCTTGCTGTGGCAGGAGACAGGCTTGTGAGAGCTCCAATTGCACCGATCGGCTCGAAGTAGGTGGCTATCGTTTTGTTATAGCACTGCTGGAGGCATGTGCTTAGAAAGTTTTTTAATGTTTGTCCTTGTTGTAGAGTTGCCAACTTCAACCGCTGCTTGAACAAAGCGATACACTTCATCCTCAAGCTGGGACTTGGACCCATGATTGATGAAGGATTACCAAAATTTCAGAACATTCAATTGTTCGGGGCGGGAAATCAACCTCTGCACGTTGGTGGAATTAGCGATTTTCGGGACAAGATTTTTATTTCTTGAAAAATGGATGGGTTCGGTTGCGTTTTCGTTGCGGTGTTTTTTGACGTGTATTCGTATTATTATTCTTTACTTGTTCCCCACCCTCGAGGTGGG